GGGCCGGGCTCAACCACTGGAGGAACGAGGAGGGGTTCTCGGGGCTGGCAGGGTTTTCTTCACGGCATGTAAGATTCGATAAGTGGAGGGGTGATTGCCATTCGACGTTGGCCATCTTCCAATCGGCTCCATGCTCTAGGAGAAGACGAACAATGTCTACTTCCCCGTCGCGGATGGCTCGATGCAAAAGAGTCTCTCTTCTGGCAAGATTATACCAGCGAGTCCTCCCAAGAGGGTAATAGTGGTAATATGGGAAGTTAGAATACATCGTTCCACTGAAGTGCTGAATAACTGAGCGGAAAACATCGCGGGCCTGTTTCGGGTTGGCACTGGCCCGGATCATGTTATAGGCCATCTCCAGAGCAGTGACAAATCGGTGTCCCGATGTCGACATCTTCAACGTTTCCTCGGTCTGCGATAGAAGAAAGGACTTGAAGTCGGCTATATGTCGTGAACGGTGATTGAAGCTCAAAGTATTGCTGTCCAGGGACCCTAAAGTTCCGTGCCTTTCTAAAGTTGAAGCATGGTTCGATTCAGGACCTGTTTCGGAGAATAGAATGTGCTCCAAGGCTGTAAACAACCCTGGCCGCCAGCGAAGCATTGGATCATGTTCAGCATCCATATCCACTTCACCTTAAAGTATACCGATATATCTATCAATTCCTTCTAATGGGGCTTTGACTTTCCACCACCGAGTGTCATGCTGGAGAACGTATTGTATCGAGGCCAGAACAGTAGTTGGGTGCGGGAAGCGCCTTAACATGTTCGGGACCGGATCATGAGCAATATAATCCAGCCACGTACTCAATTCGTAATCCGAGTAAGATTGGTAGCGTATCAGAAACCCCAAGAACCTCACTCTGCGAGCCCCAGCGAGTGGATTCGCCCAGGCCTCGATAAATTTATCTGCAAGTTTGAACTTCTGGCACAAAACAGCAAGTTGGAAGGGGGTAAACCGGGGCCGGTCTTTTCTGGTCTGTAGCCGACGGAACGGAGAGCTCGAACGTATATTTGCATATCTTCTGAGACTCTGTGTACTGACCATAAGACGAGCACGGTCCAGTAAGATGTCAGCAGAATCCGGACAGAAGGCGAGCTCATGGACAAGTGTTAGTCCATCTGGCGAAGAGTGGTTGAGTAAAGTTTGGAAGGAAGCTGATCCCACAAGATTGCGAATATGGAGCATGATCAAGGTATTCTTTGTGTAGATTGGTCGCCTGACTGCTGACCAGTGGTTCAGTCCAGTAGGGGCGGTCAGCTGGGTGCCCAACGAAGCTTATTTAGATAGCCATCCAAGAAGATCGATGACCACGCTCTCACTGCCTTGTTTGATGGCCTTGTAAAGCACATTCTCGCCTGATGAATTCACATACTCGATGTCCGCGCCCAGGTCTGTAGTCAGAAAGTCAAGTAAAGCTGCTGCCGAACAATTCGGGTCTTTCCGGCTACTGTTTGTTTGTCGTTGTAGTAGGAAGTCGTTGGCAACAACATATGACACTGGCGATCTGCCGAATGAGTCAAACTTCATTTCCCGACTTGTTCTGAAGAGCGCTTTTAAAACACCAAGATCGTGATAGGCGCAAGTCCGATGGATGGCGGAAGACCTTCCTCCGGTTTCGATGTACGCGTCGGCGCCACGCTTGACTAGAAGATCAATGGCGTCAAGATTTCGCGTCTCTAAGGCCCAATATAAAGGCGTTCCTGGCTCCAAAGTAGCGAGTACATGCTTTGACTGCACCCGATCATGGCTCCTAGGATTGATGTCGACGGAATACAAGTGACTTTCGATGTCTGACAAGCCTTTCCTGTCTAGTGCGACAATCCAGTGCAAAGGGTGAGTGCCAGAGTTGTCAGCAATGTTAAGTGAGGCTCCATTGCTCAGAAGGGTCTTTGCCAATGTCGCGCTGCCCATCCTTAACGCCAGATGTAAGGCAGTCTGGCCGTTCCTATCCTGTGAGTTGATACTAGGAACTTCAGACTGTAACGATTTTTCCAGGGCATCGCAGTCTTTCTTAAGGATGGTCGTATGATATGGAAGACTGGAGTAGAAGGCATCTGTCTCTGGCGGTGGATAGAAGTTGCAGCGCCAACTCCCAGCCGCGGCTTCAGACCGTATGAGCTCATGATTGTCATCACGCAGGTCCTCAGCAGCAAACCAACATCCTTGTAGAGCGGCATCAAGAAGCCATTGGGTCTCCGTTGCCTCATTCTCAGTATCGACATCCACAAGAATCTCTGGGTCCTCTGTTGCTTGATTGGGTCGCTTGTCTCGTAGACACCTGAGCCTTCGGGTCATTGCTTGAGCATCGTGAAAACCGAGATCAGCTGCTTTCTTCATGGAAGTGTACGCGTTATGAAAGCTGGTCTGAGTTCCCAGGCCTACTAAATTGCATAGGCTGATTTGGAAATGGGCTGCGCCCGATCGATGGTGCGATAATTTAGTGAGGTGGCGAAGGATTTCAGCCGCCACTAGCCCAAGGCTGGTATGAGCTCCAAATGAACGCGTCAGGTACGAATTATTGAATACACCAGAGAAATCAGGAACAACAGAGATGGGCGGACAAGTCTTGCTAGAAAGGAGTTAAGTTTATGACGAGGAGACTTGTGATGCAACTTACTGCTTAGCCAACGAATCCACCTCTCGATAAAGAGTAACCATAGAGCTTGGGCGGTCTGCTGGCTCAGTGGCCAAGCACTGACGGAGGATATCTAGTAATGCCGTAGTCTCCGATTTGGATGCAATAGGCGGCCCTGGGAAATTAGTACCTTTCCGAAGATGCCTCCAAACTGAAGTTTTAACCCCTCTGATAAAGTCATCGCCGTTTCTCTTGAGAACTTCAAACTCCTCAAAAGTTATTTGATCCGTCTCAGCTACATTGTGACCTAAGTATGCGCGATAACGGCACTTTCCATCCATGGCCAAATCCCAAACTAGCAGTCCATATGCATAGACTTCAGCGCGGGCTAGACTGTCAAACCCTCTTGGTGGACATGGATGACCAAACGCAGCCTCAGGCGCAGTCCATGGCACTGTTCTCCCACGAAACTCTGTAGTCGAATCTGGATTGTGCAGACTTAGCCCAAAGTCCGAGAGCTTGGCCTTGATTCCGTTGCTTCTGGAGGCGTCAAGCACGAGAAGGACGTTTTCAGGCTTGCAGTCTCCCCAGATAAAGCGTTGTTCGTGGATGGTAGCCATACCACAAGCCACATCGTTCATGAGTTCCTTCTTCTGAGAAAACCCAACGTGGCGCTGATCGCCGGAGCCGAATGCCTTGACCAGATCCGCCAGTGAGCCCAGTGTAGCATATTCGAGAACGAGGATTGGTTGGACTCGGGCACCTCCTGGGTTCTCCCAAGCAATGCCAAGGAGTTTGATAACGTTGGGATGGCCTCCGAGACATCCCAACAGTCAAACCTCCCTTGTAGAAGCCTCTAGAGACGCATCGATGGTCAAGTTGAGACGTTCTTCGGCATGCTCTCTTATACACAACGCTGGCGTTTACGATGGATTCGGGTTTTCCGGACCACCTAACACAGCCTGGTTAGTTCCAGGGTCTTCAAGGTATCGAGTCGGGATGAGAGCAAGATGTACTACCTTTCGTTATCATGTATGCGATCCACCACGCACTGCCCTCCAGCGCCCAATGTTCCCGATGCAGCAAGTGCCTTTTCTGGATCTGAGATGCATGGATTGACGATAGCTATCTCCAACGCGCTGATAAGATGGATAAAATAGAGGAAACTACTGTGAGGACCAGCCGAAGACTCGATGGTAACTTCGTCTTCCAAGTTTTCAAAGATGGAAAGGCTGTCTTCCATCCCTTCTGATGATGGTTGAATGTGCGACAAGGGAAAGGACATGCCGTCGATTATTTTGTTTGAAAAGACACTGCAGCGAGACGTAATGTAAGAATCGCATTTGCGATATTAAAAAGCGAGAAAAATGCAGAGCCTTATATAGTACAAGATACCTCGATTTCAGTTGGGCTTGGGTAAGCAGGTAGCTAATATGAAATTACTTAATTAACCGGTATATGTATATAATAAGTTTAAGAGTCAAATTTAACTAGTGTATATCTAGAAACGCCAGGATGTAGTCCAATGGCTTGAAGTCGGGCAGGAAGGGGAAGCTACGCTGGGCCAATGCAATGTAGCGAGATGCCGCAATTGCCAGGATTATCTGGACGGAAACTCATCCATTGCTATCGACAAAAAGACAATGGAAGTGTTGAACGGCAACAATGACGATAAGGAAAAGATTAACCCCCACGATCAGATCCAGTTGTGTGAGTTCTGTGGGGATAGATTACAGGAGCCTGTGCCAGAACCAGTAGTGAGGTTTGTAGATATCTGCAATTAGTTCAGAAGCAAGGTGATTAACTCCTGTGACTAATGTTAAGAATGTCCTTGGTGTTGAAAAATATTGAATTAAAAGATGAGCACTACTCTTCACAGTGAGCATAGACTAGATAAGTAAACACAATGTCTTTGGTATTGATACTACACAAATCTATCGGCATTGCCAACTGGATGTCTTTTTGGGATCACCGCCAATGTATGTCTGCGTCTTAGGGTACAGACAATGCTTGCGCTGAAAGTCGATGCCGTTAGTAACAGTGTCGTTGATGAACTTTGTACCAGTCAAACTCGCAGGCGCTTGATCCTTCTCAACCCACGCCACCATGGCCGCCAATACATTGTGCTGCGGATCAAAGGGAATCCCCGCAGCAGGGGCACCACCGCCCTGACCAACAGCCCAGGCGCCAGGACCCGAGTTGCAGTGGAACATGCCTGACATGCGGAAATAGCGATAGTAGTCCTGCAGGTCGTTGTCGGCAGAGTACATGCGGTTCCAGAAACGCTGGGTGTTGAACTGAGTGATTTGGTTATCCTGGCCACCGTGATAGCTGAGCAACTTTCCACCGCGCTTCTTGAACTTGGGAAGTTCTTCGGGGTAGGTTCGAATATCGAATGGGTTCAGCTCATCCGCCTTTCGGACATCATCTGTGTTATAGGTACTGGCGTCCCAGTTGGGGTCGTTGTATACGACGTATCGGAACCAATCTTCAGAATAGCTGAAGGGAGTGCCTGCGATGAGCTTCGATACGGCCTGGAGTTCATTGCCAGGGTTCATGCGAGGAAAGATGAGCTTGCCGTTGGGATAGGTATATGGAGCATAGATCTTTTGCAGCTGCGCGACTTGAGCCGAGTTCAAGCAATTCTTGGGACGTCTGGGGCTGCATTGAAGAGTCTTTGTGTTGAAGAAGCACTTGTCTGGGACCTCGATAATTCCATCCTCGACGCCGTCAATCTTGTCGCACTGTCTGAGAACTTCGTCATGAATCAGGCCTTTCCAGGTGTCAATGGGGATATAGTTGGGCGAGTCTGCCGATCCTGTTATTGGGTAGAACATGGCCCTCTGGCCTTGGAGATTGTTAAAGTCAACAGCTGGGCACCCCGCTACAATCCCATCATAGTCTTTAGGGTACTTTTCTGCAGCCTTAATGCCCATGCGACCACCAAGCGAGCAGCCGAGGTAGTAGTTGTGAGCTGGCTTGTTGCCGTAGAATGCCTTTATGAGCTTCTTCGCTGAGCGAGTGCCAGTGTGCAGACTTCGATGGTCAGCTAATAGTTCATGAATGGGGGTTTATGAGGGCCATAGTACTCACGCTCTGTAGGAGAAGTCCTTGATAATTTCAGGGTTGTTCAGCATGGTAATACCCGTGGTACCATTGTGGCCGTTGTTGGTACCCATGGTAGCGAAGCCATTAGTTGTACCATAAGCAAGATCCTCGTACTTGATGCCTAATTTTCTTGTCTCAGCTTCGCTATAAACTACAGTCTGTTAGCTGGGCGTTTACTCACATCCATCAATCCCACCGTTGCCTGTTGCCAGATATCTCGATCCGCTCCAATCACTGGGCAGCCATAGCTCAAAGCTGATGGAGGATCGCTTTGAGGTAGGAATCTGGAGGGCAATGCGACATAGGTCGGCTGTGACAGCCTGAGAGGCACGATTACAAGTCGGGACGTTGTCTGGCAATTGCAATGTTGTACCAGCAGAAACAAACTCTTGTCGCGTCAATGTTGAGTTGTCAATGAGCCTTGTTGGCTTGAATGCTAGACATCTGGTACGAAAGTCTCTCTTGTCATCACGGCAAACAACAACAGATGCCAGGTAACTGAGTACAACGACAAACCAGGAGATGCGTAGTAGGAAATACATTGTTTCTTCCCTTCCGTATTACCCAGTCTGTCAATGTTGAAGAACTGTGCCTCAGCCTCTAGTTAAAGAAGCAGTGATAGAAGAGGGCGGGATGAGATGGGATGGCGAACAAAACTCTCTCGGTGACTAATCCTTGTAAACCCGAAATGCCCGAAGGATGACTAGGATAGGTCTTGGCAGGGCAGGGCGTAGCATCCGTAGACGAGAGGCAGGGGCGCGGCACAGACGCTGCAGTTCATGTTCCCCGAGATTGAGGCGGAGATAGAAGATAGAATCGGACGATGATGGCAGGAGATTAATCGGGCACAGTGGGCTGTATCCGCTGTCACTTCATGTAAGCACTAAGGAAGTTTATTCCCGGCTCCATGGATACAACAGCGAACAGCGCAACAGAACGCGTAGAGATATGTGAGCATCAACGCTATGTCAACTATCATTCCAACGGTGGTTTTGTTCAATCAAGGTGACAGATGAACCCTGAGATCGGAGCTTCTGACCCCCGCACTTCCCCCATCGAAGCGCGTACTTTATTTTGATCCAGTAGGATATGGGATTTAGCTTGACGATCTTGTGCAGAGATCTTCATTCAATTGATCCAAATTGGGGTTGGTGGAGATATGCGGTTTATTGTACATGGAGGGAGAGGTAAGAAAACTTGAGAGCTTTATCCTAAGGGATGAAAAGAATTAGGCAATTTAGTGTAAGTTTAGGTAAGTCTTCATTAAATTTATTTAGGCATCCTCTTCTGAAGTCTTATGTTTTCTTGCTCCCTGAAGACATGGTAAAAATGCAAACGGTCTTAGGGCCACAAATAATAACGGTAATAGAGGGTATGTTCGTGGGGGGTATTGATCCCACGAGGAACTATTGGTGGGATCACATTGCCTGCGAAGAAGCCAAGGCGGCATTACCAGACCCGTGTGGATACTGAATTTGGTCACATGACAGGGCAGGGGACATGGATATACCGGAGAGTCAACAAGGCGAATTATGGCAAGCTGCATAGTTAGTCTATGGATATGGCGATTTATGACCCAGCGTAGCAAAATCTATCATCTCCATCGCGATGCAGATCTCAAGATAGTAAATGGTTGCAAATCGCGAACGCGTCTATTGCTTCAAGCCGGGCATAATAGTTTCCGAGCGGGGCAGGACTGAATTAACTTTCCATCCATCGTCAGGTTTGATCAGAAATATCTCTATATAATTAAGTCTGTTTTATGCTTCTTCAAGCTTTCTACTGGAGTGTTGACCAGGTGCAAATAACTCTTCAGTGCTGCGGTCTCTGCTCTGCAACTCGATATTCATCGCCTCAGTTTTAGTCGGCCCAATCTTGCTGAAGCCTTGACGATCGACCTTTCGTTTTTGGCTCGTGGTTGTATCCATGACTCCCGAGCTATTCATTCGAGTTCTTCGCGTGCGCGAGGTACTTGTCACCGTCGTCGCTATCCCACTAAACACAACCTGAAAACAAGGGCGCATTGTCATGATAGTGGACACAATGACGGCCGTGAAAATCTCAGCCATAGCGAGAGTATTCGGCGTCGTATTATACCCTGAGATAATTAGATCAACGACAAAACATCGGGAAGACGGAATGAACACACAGTGAGGATCAGTAGCAGCCCCTTCGTTCGGCACGTAGATCATTACCACGCGAACCACAGCGCAAGCCGTATGACTAGACCGTTAGTTTATTAGTATAAAAATATCTGGTCAATGGCTGTATCAACATACGCAAGTCCCAAGGCAATCAAGAAGAGAAATTGCCATATTTCCTTACTCTGATGCCCCGTTGACAGAAGGGCAGGAAACGGTATCAGGACGAGCAAAACCGACGTGAAGGAGTTGATGTAGGCATTTGCTACCCGAAACTTGGTGTTGTCGATGCATGTGCCGTCGAGATCACCTTGCCAGGCTTTAGAGATTGGGTTGCATTGGAATGTCGAGACCAGAGTGCCGCCAGTGTAATAAGCAATGATGACGCCCATCAATGCAAAGTTGGCGTATCGCGCGATCTTGGTACTCAAGAGAACAGGCTTGTTGAAGATGTTCATATAGATAGTACAAATAGAAAGCTTGATTACGCCTGCTGTCGCCTTGAAAAAGACCTGGTTGAGCCAGAAGCACTGTCATTGTTAGTGGCGGGATGGAGATAGCGGGTAGGTGGGAAGATCTACAATCTTAGGCGTCAGGGCTTTCCGGATATCTGGCGGCAGATCATCTTTGTGATAACCATAGCCCCATCGGAAGTAAGCTGGTACTTTGTCAGAAGTATTTCGTCACGAAACTCGCGATACTTACGGTCCAGGTTGAAACCAGCAAGACATATGCTCAGAGACTAAATAGTTAGTATATGCGATAAACAATATTGAGTTCCAAGACACTTACTAGACCAACTATCAACAGGTAATCTGGGAGCCCAATAACCTTTTTCCAGAGACGCCAGCATATTCTCCATATGACTAAGATAGTAGCACTAGCCAGCAACGTAAGCGTTACGGCTTTGAGCTTGGCCGAATTGTTAGGCCCTTGAAAGTAGTCTGACATGGGCTTCTGATGGAGATAGCGCTTCGAATAAGCAACTCGAAGGAAGATCGGGAAGAGACACAGACACTGATGCGTCTTATTTAACACATAGGAATGTATGCGCGTACTGCCTGCAGCATCGGGTTGTATACAAACAGCCCATTTTGGCATTTAACCTTAAGGCGAATGAGAACTTTATCGCGGGTGACAGGGAATTGCCACACACGACAGATGCTGGATTCATATCCCTGCAGCAGTTCGGACGAGACCATCAATCTGTGACTCGATTATTTACATGGATCTTTGCATGTAGTTGTTCCTGGCATGTCTGCATGTATACACTGCGGCACGGTTAGGAAGGAAGAAGCTTTTTAGCTAGCGCATTGCCATTGATTCTAGCGAGACTGACGGCAATTAAACTATAAGCTGCTTGAAGTCATGTTTCTCCACGAGAGATACAACTCCTCGCATCGCAAAACAACGGCTATTGCCAGACTAAGCTTTTCGCCATAAAGTCTTGGTTAGATCATTTGTATTTCGACCTTGTTCCCAAGGCGTTTGAGTCTACTTCAAGTACCTAGAGAGTCGAGATATCCAACCACCATCATGTAAGATATTAGTCATTAAACCTTAAGTAACATATTATACTTTCTCCCAAGACAGCATGACTTGAAAAGGTATGGACTCTTCGTTCTTGGCCGTTGCGAAGCCTATGGAACTGATGTTTTTAATAATCTCTCTCCTCTGATTAAACGTAGGATTCGGGTTAATTGCCGCCGATACGATACAAAGCAGACATGTCTCTGCCTATTTCCCTTGCGACTCGCTTGCCGGTATTCGGCTGTGCATTGCTTGGCACTTATTTAAGACATTTGTTACGCTAACTCTCTTAGACAATGCAATTCTGATAGGTAAGCCCATGCGAGCCAATTTGGCTTTCAATAACTAGATAATCCACAGTCGTGGAGCATTACTGGGGTCAGAGATTGTTCCAGTCAGGCATGTAACCTTCTTGAACCAGTGTCGCTTCCGACACTCCTAATTTGGTATAGCCACCGCACATGGACTAGGCACGGGACGGAAGGACACGCCAACCATTTCCTCAGATAATTAGATGGCGATCAGTATTCTTCTGCCTATGAAGACATGCGCGCTAGATTTAGAGTCAGTTTTAGAGAGTCAATTGGTGATTATACGCAGCAGTTATCAGTTATAGCATAGCTAAACTACTAGTCTCGAGCTGAAATGCATTGCCAGCCAACCTAATAGATCTATTGCCGTCGATCAGCTATGGGTCAAATGCCACGTCACATACCGTCTCACAATTGACGTCAGTGGCATTTTCCGGGGACATGTACAGGCTGCAGGGGTTGGAAATGTACTAAAGTGGTCCCGTACTGTACAAAGGCTGCTACTGACTTTCTAAGAGGTTGAAAAGAGGTTATTCCTGCCTTTTAAGATATTCTGATTTGTTGCTGGGGGTCTTGAGAGAGGTATCTCTTAGTGTACTGTACTTGCTACTTAGCTATAAGTCCCTTTAATTAGAGGTACCAGCACATAGTGATCTACAATGCACGATATATTTCCAACCCCTGCTGCCTATATATACGACGACTAGGTATACATCATGCTGCCTATTATTCTCCATTCTGCAAAGCACCTTCTTTACTCAGGATTTAAATTCTAACTCTTACCATAAACTCAAATACTTAACTGGCCGATGGCGTACTTATGGTAGATTGCAGAGTATAAAACTTCAGCTATAATGACGAGTCCCTATCACTAATCAAACGCCTATAGTATAAACCACCGACCGAAGAATAGATAAACAATTACAAAGACATAGGTGGCGGTGAGTATTGGGGCGAAGGCGGTAAAGTCTTCCAGGTTCTAGCGAGTCGCGGGCTGAGCGGTAACATTAAACCTCTCTTCGCCCTGGGTGCTGAATCAGGAGCACCGTATACATTGTTCGAGCTGGACGGAAAGTTCTATTTCTTTAGCGCGGATGATGGTTCCCTTGAACTGATTAAGGATCCTGATAACCTTGGGGCAATACTCGGAACTATTGGAGATCCAGAGGACGGACTTGACGCAGTTCGTGTAGCTATAGTCTAGAACTTTCTTATCTAAAATAGTAGACAGGAGACTAACTAAAGAGAACATAAAGCGGCAGGAATATCTATTTATAACCCCAGTAACTGACTTTATAAATTAAGTTCTTTCTAGTATGATATATTTTAGCTTTAGGTATTAATAACCTACAATTTATTTCTTCTAAACCTGTAAGACTTTAAACCATGACCATTCTGCCGCTCTATTAACCTATACCTGTAAGAATCTATAGTGACGCTAAGCCCATTTAGCCAGTGGGTTCCAAGGGAGGCGGATTGTCCCTCCATCTCTACAAGATGCGATCCCAACCCCACCCGTACCAGTCCTAAAATAGCACACCAACGTCTTTGGCTCCCAACCCCAAAACCCACCTGCTCCAAGCGTATCACCCCCACCATCCAACTCACCAGTCTTCTCCAGCTGTTCCATCCTGGACCGTCTATGTCATGTCGTCAGTGACCTGCGCAACTTTGAGTATGTCGGAACGATCTGATACTTACGTCAATACATTCTCATATCCCCAAACCACGGCAATAATTGGCGATGGTGGAGCCTGGCAAAATTCCATTCGTTTCTTGGATAGAGCCTCATGATTGATTTCGATATTTGACGAAGTGGTGCTTTCATGAGACAGGTTAACTGCTAATCTTTCCTTTGACCCAATCAGACTATACTTACTCAGCGGCAAGAAGCTCCATAGGTCGATCACCGTAAGAATATAGCACATTGAACATCTTCCTTTCGACCTCAGGCCATGGGTCCCCAAATTGTTCAATCAGTGAATCTCCTTTAGTTTGCAGAGTTTGTTGTTGGGTCACCAGGCTCCGGACTATTTGTGTAACGTCCTTGTCTACAAATACGGCACCATGTATATGCAGCAGTGGACCACTCTGGGGCTGGAAAGCACCTACAGAAGTAGTGCTTTGAAGAGACATCAGCGCAGTTCCCACCTGGTGCGGCGCTCCGAAGCTTTGTATGCCAGGAGCCGCACCAACTGTCTCAGCAGTGTGACTGTGGGTATAGCTGGAGCTACTTGGTGAAGGTTGCCCATGATTGAGCTGCGGCGGCGATACCTGGGGTCCAGGCACATAGACTGGATAGAAATGCATCTGTGTCTGTGTTGCCACTTGTACAGGTGGTGCTGGTGGCTGCTGCTGCTGCTGCTTATTTCCAAAAAGACCCATTATCTTGGCTCCAACGGCCCCAGCGCCGGCGATTGCAGCAGACTGAGCCATTTTCCCTAACCCATTTTGTTGGCCATGGCTCTCGTGATGCTTCTCAAATTTATTGCGAAGGGAATAGCCGGCCAGAAGACCTCCACCAATAGCCAGTGTAGTCTTTCCCAGACCGCGATCTCCATCCCCAACGACTTGATTGTCCGCCATCACTTCCGTGGTAGTTGGGTGATTCTCAATCGTAGGGACATTCGGATCCTGGTCTTGAATAGTCTGGTATTGTTGTTGCTCGGGTTGGAACAAGGGACGTTCCCACTGGGTAGCTCCTGTAGCAAAAAAGACGTAGTACCTGGAAAACAAGAGTGAGCTGCTCATTCAAACCATTTGACGAAATGTAGGTTGGTGATACTAACCATGCCTTGTGGCTGGGGCTCCACTTCGCCATCCAGCCAGCTGGTAAGGGTGACCCATCACCTCCCAACGCTTCTTCCGCGACCGGAGAAGTATGCGCTGACATGTAGGGAACACGATCTGTCTCTGGATTTAGGGCAAGGGTGAGGATGATATTTGGGTTCAAGGGCTGCGGAGAATTTGCGATCCAGCGTAATGAAATCTTCAAGTATTACTTGTGGTGCGAATAAGGATCATAGCAGGAAGGAAAAAGGGCTCTTTGACAGGCTGGAGCGGGGTTCTTATACCTTATGACCGCGTACATCAGGTGCCCTTAATGTTCTGATGGAGGGTTACAGTGCTATACTGACAGACACTTATCAAGGGGCAGCCTTAGAGTTAGTGGCTAAGCCCTAAACTCGCAACTGGGACGATGGTGTATAAACAACAACATGGTACTAGGAAGTGACAATGATGTCGGTTTTGGCCTGAGGCGTAATGGATGTAAATAGTTAGGTTATTGCTGCCTATAAGGTTTAACTATAGGCTGTAAACGTAGGCAGCAGCTTAGCATTCAAAATCTTTCTACAATACGGGTACCTACCCAAAATCCTAAAATAGCTAATAAATCTTGCTGCAATTGATAAATAGACTCCCCTAATAGTGTTAAATCTTAGATGTGAAGTGCCGATAGCCGTTTACCAGCCTGACTCTAATATAACGCTAGCCAGATCTGTAGCCTACTGACATGCATTATATATCCTATTGGTCAAAAGCAACTGCCAAGCTATGATCTGACGCAAGTACTCCAGTATTGAAAAATCGAGACCTTTTGTGGCTTAGGCAACTACAGAAGCTGTGACAGTTTCCTTGGCTCTTACTAGTTATAATTCATTAGCTCCTCTATTATTAGACAGTCCTCCGAATGTTAACGGAGAGAAGACAAGAGGATCTCTAGATATAATAAATGTCTAAAAGTTAAGTTTATGTCATAAAACCCTCAGCATTATCATGTCTCCTGGGCCTTGAATACACCTCAAAATCTCTGTTTCCGTGAGTACCAACGTCGATTGGAAGAACGTAGTCGGTAAACAGGAGATGTACAGTAGTTGACTGAAACGCGTCCTCAAGCTTCTCGTTTAATGCATTGTGGGTGACAACACTCCAGTCTTGCCTGGTGTCACGGATCTGAGGCTGTTTTGGGGGGATCATCATTGCCATCCCAGGCTTTCCGATGCTTCCCCACACTCGTCGGACTTCACAAGGCAAAGCACCTTCAGTGGGGTCACAGAGAAGCGCCGCTGCGAAAAAGATGGAATCGCCAGTGGCCATCGCTAATACATTCCTTAAGTAATCTAGAACGACAGCAAGATACCCCAGTTCAAATAAAGCTATGAAAGAAAATGTTATCCTAATATATATCTAGTATTAAATTATCTACTGTATTACCGCTAAACCTCTATTCGCTTTCATCATCACTATCTTGGTCATCTGCGCGCTTAGTGGCCACTCCATAAACAGCTAATGATCTGGTTTCGATAGCTGCCGATTTGGGTTTGAAAGTAAAGAACGGGTGATTCGTAGGAAGGTCCCGATTTTGAAGCAGGTACCCCATAGGGTTGTGCATGATATCAGATGACCGAGATCGATATGGAATCCATTCGGTCAAAAACTTTGAGAGCAACTGAGGATTGAAAGCACCAAAATTGGGAAGGGTATGTTTCCTGCTGCGATGAATATTTTCCTTCATCACCGAAGGCTCTGCCATTCCGTCAACTTCGAGACAGCTTCGTAGCTTCGTATACTCATCATAAGGAAGATACAATCGACCGGCCATGAGACCAATCTCAATGCTCAGCCAGGAAGGGATCACAAGTTCCTTCTTCGGAGTTGGTACAGGATAGTAGGCAAGGTTACCAACCTCTAAGAGAGATCTTGTATGTGGAGATGTGTATGTAAGAAGAAAGGTCGTGGGTGTGTGTATCCTACGGAGGATTGGAAGAAGGAGTTCAGCCTCCTCAGGAATGACGATCAAGGCTGTTTCGATATCAGGTCTCCAGAGTACCCATTCAACTGGTCGCTATACACAAATCGTTAGTATCTTTAGTCTAGAGCGAGTTGCTAGAGGACGTACCATAAGATGGCGAGAAGCATCAGCCTTCGAGGTTTGAACTGTTCTAGAGAACTCCTTGGAGACAAGCAGTTTCGAGGAAGTTCCCTTGGGCTTAATACCATACTTAAATCCAAGATGGGTATGACCGATCAGGTCAAGAGCCTGGATGAAATGTAGGCCATCCACCTTTACTACAGGCTCCTCACAGAATCTTAAAAGGGCCTTGTCGAGGCCCGGAAACTCGAGGGCAGTAAGATGTGTAGGATTCTGCTTTTCGCGAAGCTGGTGGACCTCAAATTCGACTTCTCTTTCCTGCTCCACCTCATCGAAAGCAGAGGAACATGCCCGCCTTTGGTGTTTAACCAGATCCGTCTCCAGCCCATGGAGTTCTGTCACAAAGCTTTGCAAATGGGCAGATTTGATTGCTTTCCAGCCAGTCGACAACACTTGCTCCTTTGGCCCGTAGAGCTGCTCCAATGTCTGTCCCTCGGGCTGCTGGACTTCTTGGAGGAGCCTGTCTCTCGTCTTTTTGTTCTGCGAGGACTTTCCGAACTTCAATAGAGCATCTTCACGTCTGCAAAAGTCGAACCCTTGGGCGATGTGTAAGGACATCATATTGTCACTGGCTTGACAACTTTGCTCTAGGAGCCAGTGGATAATGTCGGGAGACTTTAATGGCTGCGACGATGCAACCTTTGGATTGTGGTCGGATCGGAGAGACAAAACACTTGTATACACCTCTGGGGGAGCAACAAATGCGATTGATTGCGTTGTCGCGAGTTGCCTTAGTCTCATTGCAGCTATCATAGTTAGCCTCATACGGCCTACTGGTTGTTGTATGCACTTACCTTGCGTGATCTGGTCTTTGGTCGAATTAATGCCCAATGTCACAGCTCCTTGCGCGTATATTGGAAGCTTCAAGTCAGTCCCGCGCGTGTGCGCCTCGTCGATGTAGACCACGCATTTGTCGAGATTGTCCGCAAAGGAACTAGCCAAAAGCGGCACGGGCGTCTTTTGAAAACGAGCTCGTACCATGATACGGCTGTTCTTATCGAAATACACCGCGCCCTGGGCTTCGTGATAGACGTCAAGCCAGGCCGCAGCAAGCTGGTGGTTCTCCATCTCAAGGATCTGGGCACCCGCGTCTATCAATATCTTGATGCCATTGCTTCGAAGTAGTTCCAGTATCCCATTTTCATTGAGATGCCGTCCATGTTGATCAACAGCTTGAAAGCATCTTTGATTGCGTGGCTCCAGCATATGTACCAGGACTTCAGCGTTGGTTTGTATGAGACTGGGCAGATCATCTTGACGAATCGTGCGTGGCAAGATCTTTTTGTTGTCATTGGTCCCGCTAAAGCCTGTTGTCATGCCTTGCCGTTCCATACTCTCGAATAGCAGGGGGATGTCCCAAGCCGAAGCTTGCAACTTTACTCCAAACTGCTTGGCATGTTGTGGAAACGCAAAGTTATTCATGAAATGATTGACCACATGCTTCTCAAACCTCAGATGTTGCCAGAGCAAGGTGATCTGAGCCTCGTCTTCCATTTCCAGTAAATGCCAATGTTGGAGGTTTCCTGGAAGGTGTTGTGACGAGGTAAAGCGTTGATAGTATGAGGAGGGATCTTCAGAGTTGCTGATGAACCGGAGACTCTGGAGAAGTTGAGACTTGGTCAAGCCAGCATGGTAAAAGCTCAAACATGTAAGAACAAGCGCCGTGTCGGGGTGACCGTACTCCGCAGTTTGCGAGGGTATTCCCTTAGCTTCGAATGGCACTGCAATGGGAGCTCTGTCAGGATGAAGGCCGTATTGAACATTCCATGACTTCTTCAGACAGAGAATCAACAGCCGCTGGGGAATGAGCCCGTGAAGAAGATGGAGGGTTTTTGTACTAGAAGGCTCGTCATCCAACGACCTGATTGCGTTTTTCCAAATAGATGCGGATGGTTGAGTAGTTGAAAGTAATAGTTTGATGTTTGTTTTGGCATCCGGACTTGTATCAGCTTTGAACCGCACATACGAGAGTCGCCCATAACAGATATCATCCACTAGAAGAGCGTTGAGATGATCCTCAACCTCAGGACGCAAGAGGTGAATGACAGGAAAGCCCCCGTGTCGTCGCCATACATGTATCCCATCTTTAAACTTGACCTGGAGTTGAGGCACATGAGATTCAACCAAAGATAGCATGTCTTCGATAAGTTGCCACCGCTGAGGGTGACCATCAATCATGGTGGGAATGCCACTGGGATATATCAGCTGTGTCTTTGGCGAGAGAGTGAGATCAGACTCGTCAAGGACATCTCTGCTCGACGACTCCAACCATGCTTGGATGTTCATCATTTTCTGCGCTTTCTTCGCTTCCTTGTCGGCCAGCTTCTGGAGCCCGCTCAGCTTGAAGGAAAGTAGGTGTTCTGGCAAACATAACATGACCCCCCCTGACGCGAGAGTTCTCCTGTGAAGATTTTGATAAAGGTCTAGAGTCTGGTCGTCTGTAGGTGATCTTCGAGCAAAGGGTATGTGGCAAACTTCTCGACCTACCAGCCCCCCCAGTCGGCTTTGCATCACTTGTGCTGTCTGAAGGAGAAGTGCTCGGGGCACAACCAGTCGGCACAGATTAGTTGTGTCAGCCAACAATATCGCAGCGATGGGCATAATGCAAGAGGTTTTGCCTACAGTAATAGTCAGCTAATCGATCTTTTGTGAAATGTCAGTACCATTGCAAACCTTGGCCCATGTTCATCTGTAGAACAGAATTGGACATCGATGGTGGTGAAATGATAGCTTGCGCTACTTCGAATTGGATAGGTCGAATCAGCATATTGCTGTCGATCTCTAGGAGAAGCCATTCTGGGTACTTGAGCGGATTCCAGTTGGAGTGTCCCTCTGTGTCAAAGTTCTCCTCCAACCATCTATCATCTCTGCGCAGAATCGCATCTTCTATCCGCAGATAACGCTGAAGGCGCGTAGTCAGGACCCCATACTCCACTATTCTGTTAACTAAGACATGAGGCACTCGCGATCTGTTGCCATTTCTCAGCTGTTCAAGAATTGCAACTGGTGAGAAGCAGGGCCAAAGCTGGCCCTTTGAAAGCCATGTTGAGCCCTCGTCACTTTGCGAAACCAACTGCTCGATTTTATCTTGTTGCTTTCGTAGTAGTTGACGGTAGCGAGTAATTTCTCCTTTCACTGAAGACACATGTGGTCTGCTATAAAGTTCCTTTCGGCTCTGTTGCGGTCGAGCCAAAGCGGCTAGTGACACTAAAAGATCCTCCCCGTAAGCCCGTTGCGAAGTGAGAGGGGAAGAGACGAGTCGTTGTGTAATTGTCCGGAGTGTATGAAACTCCGGCTTTTGAACTACAGGCAACTCTGAAACCTGGGTCTGGAGGCTGGAGTTGTAACTTCCAACAGCAGAGTGGCCTTGCTCTTCTAGCCAACATTGAGAGTTCTCATCGGGCCTCTCGTGGATTTTATGCCTCGATAGTAAGTCAATCATCGAAACCTGAGCCGCTGAATGTTCTCTAGGTCTTTCCGGGTCTCTGGTACTCAAACGCGTTGGTTCAAAATTCCAGACGTCTTGATACATGCTTTGCTCTGCCTCCGATTGATTGCCTAACATCATTTCTGCTGCGCTCTCCAGCGCGAGGAGATAGACAGACAGCTCCCAATTACTCTTCAGTCTTTGAAGTTCAGGGTAGAATTTCAGCCAGGTTTTCTTGAGGCTTAAGTTCTGGACATTCAGGTTTAAGTCTTTGACCGATAATTCGAACTCTTGTCTCGACATCGGTGGATTTGGCCACATCTTGAAAATGTGAGAGGTGATTCGTGACGCCGCTTCTTTCTTAGGATCACCTTTCAGCACCAGTCCGCTCTGATCGCCACTGAACAATTCTGGTAGCACTCGTGATAAAAACACATCTTCAGACGGTTTTTCAAAATGGCGGAAGTTTGTGAACAGGGAATGATTAGGCGACTGGATGCGACTGAGCCTACGGCTTTTGAACAGTGCCACAAGCCATATTATGACAGCCATGTCAACATCGTCGTCGAAGGCGAATAAAGCTAGGGAAAAATACTTGTCGTAAGTTCTTGTAGGGTCTTTTTCACGAAGCTTCTGGACAACAGAGCCCCAGAGCTGTGGCGCTCCAACACCTAGAGTCGCTGCCAAATCAATATCTGACAAGGATTCCTTGATCCCTCGAAATGTGCTCCACGTTTCTAAAATTGGGGCAAGTTTAGGAAGGCGAAACAGACCAACATCAGAGTCCATTACTGCACGAATGGCCTGATACACTCGGCAGCTCCTCACTGATGACTTCTGAACTCCATTAGGGATGAAGTTACCCGGTTGTGCTGCTTGAGAAAGTACTGTTGAATCGGACTCAAAGCAGACACGATCATAAAGCTGCCTTCGAATACGGCCTCTGATTTGCAAATGAGCCACAGACGCGGTACATGACATATTGTCTTGATGAGGTTGTGTCATACTAAAAGCCTCTAGATCTCGTGACCGACGTTCAATCAGAGCGACTAGAGGAGCCAAGTCTTCATGTTGGATTGTGGAAGTCAAATGCTGATCCCAACGCACCTTCTGATATAGATTGATGCCTGGGGGGTAAAGGGTTCTTTCCGGTGATAGAGACTTGATGACAGATAACATTCTCTGTGGGAAGCCCGCCAAAGGAGCCCAAGGCTGACTACGAGCCGAGAGCAGGCAGTGGCGAGATTCTTCGGTTCCTGTCTTCCCAGTGAAGTCATCGGGTAGTGGGAAAGACGTCAGCGCATGTATTGCTGCCTTGAGATAAAGAAGAAGCGGCTCAGGTGGGCAGTCTAGTCGGCCTAGAACCGGGTTAAGTGTGTATTTAGCGTACACTCCTTCGTTCGAAATCCTGACAGCGACATGGATTCCCTCTCTCTGCCATTGGATGTTCCCTATTGGGATTAGAACAATCCTTCTGTCAGGGTTCGAGGCATCGCGTAGAGTCACTCGACTGCACAACCCGTGGAGCGTTCCGATATCTTGCTGAGGGTCCACTTCAGCCTTTAGCTGAGGGCAAAACAGTAAACCCCTCTGGTTGACATGGAAGCGAATCTCCAAGCGTTTCAACTCCACAGACAACTCTCCATTGGCAGATTGGTAAATCGTCAACCTCTTGGAGTCTTCAAAGTCTTGGAAAATACTACCGACTTTCCTCCCAATCTCTGAGTTTGGCTCAACAAGACTGGCTCCCGGGTTTCGGGTGGCTCTTCGTTTTCGGATATCGAGTATCCAGTTCGATAGCTTGCGCCTCCAGATCCGTGGTTTTCGACGCATCTCAAGATTCCCAGTAGTCAAGTCCAGCCAGTGCACGCAATCGTCAACTAGGTCTGCGGGTAGGTCCCAGCCCATTGGACCTTTCAGCATAGAACGCGGGACGAACTGAAGAATGGAGCCTCTGAATAGAGCTTTGATGGTTATTTTGCCATCTCTGATGCCGACATGAACCTGGTGACCTTCCATTTCGGCAAGGATTTGATAGTCCAAGAGTCCGGATGGCCGTGTTAGCAAGTGTCGCCCCTCAAAAAGCTCCAGGATAGATTCGTTATCTCTGATCTCACGGGGAAGTCTCCCCAAGGGCTTTTGATCCACTAGTAAGTGACCTTGAAGTATATGATAATGTACTCTCTGTGGAGCTATTGAGTCACTGGGGGCGGTCTCGGATGAAATCCACCACGAGTGCTTGCCTGGGAGCTTCTTCCACGGGGAGTAAGACCTCTTAGCGAAAGCGCTGGCACTAGCCCATGTCTCGTCGATAGCCTTCTCTACCAGGCTGATATCACTCTTTACCCACTTTTCGACAATACTCCTCATGTTATAAGAGGCAGACATGTCTTGGGTGAAAAGACTATGCAAGTGAGTGGGCAGCTTATCTGAACTATCAAGCAGGTTCTCCTGAAGCGCGATGGACGATCGGAAAAAAGGTAACGGGTCATCCTTGAGCACCGTCTTTTCAAAGCCATGATGACCTAAACATCCCCAGAATGTTTGTCGGCAAAGCAACGCGGCCCAGAAGGCAAAAGTGGCGGCCTTGCCGGCCATGTCGCCGTCAAATGTTGATCTCACCTCATGCTGTAATTGAAGAATCCAGTTTGAGGTAATGGAACGGACTCTTAATAAGAGCTCATGAGCCTGTGTTTCAAATGCCGGCGGGCAAAGGTGATATAGCCGGAGACTGAATATCACAACACTACTCATCCGATCGACCTGTCTCCAATTCTGTTCCATCGTGTCCATCCAGGCCTCGAGCCGCTCTTTCAGTCTGTGACAGAACTCTTCACTGTTGAACACCCAGTGAACTTCACGTAGCAGTCCTTCTTCCAGTGAAGCTGGGCCGGCCTGCATGGCAAGGCGATGAAAGAAAGAGTTTGCAGCTCTACTACTAAAGTCAAAATTGGAAGCAGCCAATTCCTTCAGAATTTCGAGCCAACGTCGGCCTCGCGCAGAAACCGCTCGCTGGGAGGCACAGAAATCGTTACCAGATGTGGATTGCGGACCCATTGATTCGCTTGCTACGATCTCGTAAGAAGAGGGACGATACAAAAGCTTGCATAGAACTCCTCTGGGCGCTTCATATGGATCCACGATGCCTTGTGGAAGCCAGGAGCCTAAAAGGTGCTGATACCATGGAATCTTGGGGAGTTCGTCCGCCCAAACCTTTGAGACAGTATCATAGTAAAACATTTCAGCTCCAAAACGAAAAGTGACCTGGTCAGGTGTTTTCGGTAATTTCAACTTTCCATAGTGAGTTTGCCGGAATGACTTTTTGCGCGAAGCAAGCGTGAAGGTTTTGTTCACCTCTAGGGAGAACTTCTTGATATCGGTGATATCTTCAAGGACCAGTTTGGGGACGCCTTTGGTGCTTGAGTGCACTGTGGTTCCAAGGAGATACAACTGCCAGGTGGCTGTACGATAGGCAGACAAGTAGTCAGGGATAAGCAGCTCAAGAAGAATAGCTGCCCGTTGGGCCTTGCTCTGGTCAGTCTCTGTTGATGGGAGAAAGTCTTCGTGGACACTGATCTTGAGCTTCTTTCGTCGCCAAAATTTCGGACATCTTCGGCAAGTATGTGGGAGTTTTTTACCAGTAGGAGATACGGTACATGTGCAGGTAAGGTCGTTCAGCGACTGTGTCAAGCTGTCATACGTTTTTGTCAGACGCTCGAGCTCGGACAGGGTTGATTGTCTGGCCCTTGATGAAGCATCATCTATCCGCGTACCAGTCACCAACATCTGACGACCAGCCGCAGTGGAAGAGACGTATTTGGCAGGAAAGTTTGACCCCTTCCTGGGGTTGTCGAAGATTGTACCCAGGCCTTTCTTGTGTGAAGCCACACGATTGCGAATATATCGCTGTACTAGTAACAACCGTTCCATCTCGTCCCTAGTCATCAAACAAAGAACATCCAAGGCATCAGGAATGAATAGAGGATGATATTCTTTCAGTAATGGACATATGGAAATTGCCGCTTCGTCCATCTTTGTCCAAAGCTCGAAGAGTCTGAGAAGGTGGCGACTCATCGGAATCGAGTCAATGTTGAAGGTGTCTCCCACCTTAGTAAGTAGGTCCATGATACTTTTAGAAAGTAACTTGCACACTTCTTGAGACTTCTCTGATGTGGAAGTAAGTCTCTTAGCCGCCGTACTCTCAATATCTTGGAGGGAAATATAGTGGTCGGCTAGGCGGCCAACTTCAAGAACTGACCCCTCTTGTAACTGAAGCACATCCGGAGAGGTCATACGGTATCGGTGGCTGGGCTGTTGTGACATCTGAGATGTCAGAAATTCGCCACTATTATTGAGTCTCATGTATAAATCAGCTTCTGCGACACGGCGCGGAAGAGATGGAATACGGCGAGCAGCTCTGGCCTTGAAGTCATCCCATTGCAAAGAAACACGTTCCGTTGCATACTTCACGACATCTTCAAAGGCTTCCGAAGTAGATGCGAAAAGTTGGTTATACAATCGGCGCAAAGATGGTGAAGACACTGCGCTATCCGCTTCGAGTTTCGCCATGCGACGGCAGAGCTTTGATCGAAGCTGCATCGTCATCTCGGGGTGCAGACGCTCAGCAGAGTCTTTAAGAAGGTCGGACAACATGGTGCATATAATAAATTTGTAATAGACCTGTCCCATGCCTGCGCACTTGTGGTCTAGCAACTCCCGCAGCATGCGTCTCAATGCTACGCGAAGAACCAGCCAGTACGAAGAGCGCCGCCAGGGAATCTCGGATGAGCCCAATACAACGTCATCTCGAACCTTTTTAATGACTGACTGCACTTGGACGCCACTTCCAAGCCCCTCTAAAAGTGACATGAGCATGTCAATTATCAGGGCAGGGTCTGTGGAGTTGCGGGTCTCGGGAATCGATTTTCCGCCCTTGGAAGCCTTCGCGGCAAACATATCGAAAGATTCGTTGCTTGCCTGTGCCAAAAGCTGAGCCAGGTTTCTCTGAAAGGAAATATCATTGAAAACGCGGAATGGAACTTGGGCTGAACGATGGGGAAATTCCCACGTGAGGCAGTGCTTTGCTGCCAGAACATCTTGAACCGGGGCATCAGTCTGGAATGCTTCGAAAACCACTGTATCTTTACTATTATGGGATTAGCTGATATGTCATCAAGACTGAGAAAGGCTAAGAGAAACCGACATGTCATCGCGATGGATTAGCAAAGCAGAATTCTGCTGAGTGACAGAAAGGGCAAGCCATATGTTGTTCTTGCCACTAGCGATGCCTTGAAGGTATTCCAGAAGTTCGTGGCTGATCAGTTGGCCCTGGTTCAAAAATGCTGTGGCTTTCATAGAGCTGACTATGACGTTCCAAGCATCCTGGTCTTGATGGTCACTGAACTTGGCCAAGGCGCGTCGAAGTCGACTTCCAAGATCATACGCCAGCCCATGATCACCTTCGTCGTTCTTACTGGGTAGTTTAGAAGGAAGGACTAGGTGATGGAAAACGGCTTGAAGCAACAGTTCTGGTTCATGAGTCGTCGACATGTTGAGATAGCTGACTGTTGATAAACTTTTTTCATAAAGTGAGGCTCTTTTGGTCAAGGTAATAAGTTGGGGGGAAAAGGGTGTTTTTTCCAAATGCGATCGAAGACATGGAGCGGGGAAGCCATGTTGGTAGGCCTCCTGCAGGATACTTTATGTTTGTTGGTTATAAACACTGAGGTAGCCGCAAAAGTTTATTGCATGAGGGGAGTGTGGCTAGAGAGCCTCTCCAGCCACAGATACAGATGTTCAGTAAGAGACGCAAATTATTGTCTTACTATAGAGTTACAAGTTCAGGTCAATATCTAAATAGTCCTTCGATTTATTAGTTGTCAATACAGACAAGCAAATAAACCAGGACAGCATAAAGGCCCCAAGTAGCAGCCGCTTATATACCAGTCCAATCTATTCCAATATCTCGCCATAGATTTCATCCGACTTTGAGGCCTTTTGGAACTATGCTTCTTGGCCTGAAGGATAGAGGTCAGAGGTTTATATTATCTGATAAGTTCCGTTCAAGACAGAAGAGACTACCGAACAGAGTTTTGAGCATTTATTCACGGCCCGGTACAATCAACTACTTGACCTGCCGGTGAATGGTGACTGGGTCATGCAAAATTAATGCTCCTTGGATTCGAAGCTACAATATCATTCGCCTCGCTTATATAAACAAATTTCCTCCAAGCTCACTTGCCATCGCTGAACGCTGTATAAACGCCATAACTAAGTATGTTCGCGATTTGAACAACTTGGATTATATAAAAGTATCAAGGAGTGTGTTCTATCTATTTGATAGTTTGGATAAAGAATGATAGAGCGCACTGGAGCGCCTCCGCCGTGTTCTTGTTTGTCTCCTGTGATTGGTTATAGTGTGGCAGAAGCAATATATGAATCTGGCCATCTCATAACTAAAAGTTGAAGCCGGCAACCTCAACGTTGTAGTTAGCCTTGCCACAGTCTAGATAGTCTGGCTCTTCTTGGCTGCAGGATGCACCAAGCTCGAATGAGGCCTCGTAGATACCGCCACTGGCTGCCTTGTTTCCTCTGAACCACACACATCCTGCCTTCCATTCTCGGTTTACGAACTGGTAGAACAGATCTTCACCAATGTCGGCCCCTTTCTGTTGTGTAAGCTTCCTATATCTAGATAGATGGCGCATAGTGTTGTGACTTACAGACAGAAGCATCGGGGGTTGTACGGTACTCCCAGGTGCGCAAGTCGTCGGACCAAAAGCGGGTATCGTAGTAAGCGCGGCACAAAGCTCTCTTTCCACTCGGATCGGGGATGTCGACTCCAGTATCGAGGCGCTTGTGGAGGTAACCATCTTTCTCATATGTGATGTATTTCTGGATAGGTGAGGTGTGATTAAACTGCCACTCAACGACGGCGGGATTGTCAATAGTCCTATTGAGTCCATGGCGATGCGAGTTTGCGTTTTCATACCAATCAACATCGACGCCGTCGACACGGAAAATAGGGGAATCACGGGGAGTAGGAGTGGTCAGTCCGATAAAGGTAGCCCCGGCAGTGGCACCAGCAGCGGCGATGAAGGTAACGAGATCAGTGAGGATGTCGACTCCACAGGCGGCGTTGGTGGCAGAGTGACGAGGGCAATCGAGAGCAGTGTTGCGAAGAGCGACAAAGAAGGCACCAGCACTGAAAGTTGCAGTGCTCACCAAGATAGTCAGAGCCGTGATAGGCCCACGAGCGGCCAACAAAGCTGGGATAAACATGATGGCCTTGGGTAATCAAATGGGCAGGGAATGATGAAGTTGATGCGAAGGAGCTTGCTGATTGTTTTTTCGTGGGCAGGGAATCAGACAGGAATTTATATCTTTCTTGCATCGAGCTCAATGAGACAATACCGTCTTCTCTCCCCTATTCCCCTATACTGACTATGGGTCGTTGACATCCATAGTGGTCTCAGTATTGCCGGAATGCGATGCCGGCCGTCACCCGCGGGTCCCTATCGGAGACCTTGCCGAGCAGGCGGGTAGATCGGCAGCCGTGTATGCGGCTATTCTCGTATTTGGCAATTATTCACAACTTTCTGAATTTTCATAGTGCTGTGTAATACAGTAGCAGAATTGACCATCAAACTAAAAGACATATCTACTCATATAATAGTAAGAGTCATTTATACGCCTTGCTGTGAAGTCCTTACCCAGAACCCTTTCTCTGTCGGAAAAACTTGATTATTTGGCCATCAAGCGCGCTATGATAAGAATCGACTCTCGCCTTTCTTGATACTAGTCTTCTGAGATTAGCCCCATCGTGATAGGTGAGGCGGTCCCCGGTTAATCATGTCCTTGAGTCTTTGGGAGCAGGATGCCATGCCGTTTTTGCCGGTACGATGCCGAAGATCCATGATCTAGTTGTCCGTGATCATCTACCTGGCTCGTGTTCCTTTTGCCAACCGATTGTAAATGGAATCTTCTGCTTTAGAGTGGAGGCATTGAAGCATTCCCTGAGTGATTGACAAGTTATCGGCTGAGGTATACTGAAGCGAGTCCTTCCTCAGACGCACGTGTCGTCTAGTGCCGCCTTTGTTCCAATAGATATCAAGGTATGGCACTATATAAGGTTAAACTTTGCGCTATTATATAGCTGATATTACTTATCTTAGGAACTGTATTGATCTGGTCTGACCGCCTGAGATTTCTCTTGTCCGAAGTCGGCTGTTTGGACTATTGAGTGTCGCATTCACTATGTCAAAACCTTCTCCATGCTCCTCCTCAGGCTGGCACCTGTGCGGTTTGCTGGTTCTGCCATCTTGAATAGGACCCTGGACCCATCTTTTGACCAGAGAGCTACTAGCTAGGTCATAGCGCCGGCAGATGAACTTGACAAGCAAAACCTAGGGGACCTGCCTACTTTGGTATGGCGTATGATCTATGACATTCGATCAATCACGTACCGGTAAAAGAAAAGGGCTAGGAGCAAGGCAAAGGAAATTGACCACGCGCACTTTTGCACAGACGCTCGACGCCAGACCTTACCACCTTCTTAATTCAAAAACATGCTATAGATGTTTGTAGCCCGCGGAACAAACTGCCGACATGGCGATTCCGCTCGTGCTATTGACGAAACAAAGGTGGTGCCTTCTATCATCCAGCTGCCAACAGACTCGCAACCCACGATTCATCGACCCTAGCCAGCATTCAGGGGTCACCGTCCTTTACAATCCTTCCGTGATCCAAAACAAACACTCTATCACAAAACTCAGACACAATATGCAGTCGATGGGCAACCACAACAACAATGCTGCCAGCAAACTCCTTCTCGGTTATCGACAGCATCTTTCGCTCGGTGTCACCATGGACCGAGCTGGTGAACTCATCCAAGAGAAGTACAGAGCTACCACTGGTTTTCCGCTTAAGTACTGCTCGAGCAATATTGAAGACCTGCTTTTGCCCCTGACTGAGTGAGGACTCTGATAGAACACTGTCTAGCCCACCCTGTGACTCAACCATGTCTCAGAGCCCCGTTGCTTGCAAAATTTCACGATACTGCTCTGTCGTTGCTACCCCGAGCGGATCTAGATTTATCATAACATTACTGCCTATTGGTAAGAGCACTGGGTCCTGTGGTACAGTTATTATTCTTTCTCGGAGTGTCTAGGGACTTATGGATCAGAGAGGGACACCGTCCATGGAAAGCATGTAATTGGCATTATCCTTTTGCACAGGTTCTAACAGAGTGAGAAAGAGGAGAATGGAAGAGGGCTTTCCGCAGCCATGCGTATTCAGTTAGCAAAAACGTCTCGGAAACATTTTTGGTGTTGAGAGACAAACCTTCTTGCACAACCGCACAAGGCTATCCTCTTACCGGGTGGATAGAGACATCGGTTCCTTACAGCGCGTATTTCTCAACATCCCTCCCTACTAGATTGATATTGTCAGCCAGAGTTACCAATCTTTCCTCAGAGCTTCGTCCAGAAACTTACTTGTACGTCGCCCAAATCCCCCGTACTTCAATGGCTCTGCTGATCAACTCTTACATCACCATGCAGAATACCTTCCGTCCCAGTCTTGGTGGTAAAATTCCGGAGCCGAGCTACAGCTCCAATAAATATCTTCAATGCAGTGTAGAACCGCACAATGTCGCTCAACGCCTGGCTTGACGTCATCAGTGTGACTTGCGACGCGCCGGAAGGACTTGAACTAGGCCGGAGCTGACTTATAAAACCTACAAGAGCCGTTGCCGTAACAACAACTACGACATTCAACCAGGTACAGCCAGCGCTTTACCATTGAAAGTAGATACATCGGCCTCTGGGACTAGTCCAGCAGCCGGTGATTATGCTTGATGTTTTCTCCGTCACTCGCTGCCACTGTCCACCGCTCAGGGCAATACTACTCCCGACCATCGTGCTATCGCCCTGGGGGAGGTTTGCAAGGTCCCGGTCAAGCACAGTAGGGCTTATCACGGAATTGTATAGCTCGTCGTTGAAGAGACTATCGCCAATGATGTTGGCTCTAATGGAGGTATTTGTCAAAAATGACTGTTGTTCACAGTAGCCAATGACCGTGGAACCGAGGACAGCCGTGTGTCCAGTCGCAAGGGGGACTTCACCAGGAGTTGCTTTGCATAGAGTAGACTTTCCGCTGGCAACAGGACCGATGACGGCGGTGAGATGTGACGATGGAATGGTGATGTTGACATGCTTGAGACCAGCAACGTCCTCGTTAGCCGAAGATGCCGTCCTTGATAACCACATGGGGAGTGCCTTTCCCCGGTAGCACTTTCATCTCGATGCCCCTCCCGCTAGTCTCAGAGACAGAACTTTGAGGAGACAGCGAGGTCATACACGTGGTTGACATCATACCAGGACCAAGGTGGTGATACTCAAACCTTGGGCCGCGTTCTAGATACGTCTGGACCCGTTGAAGACAGGTTAGCGCTCCAAGAAACTGAGAAATCGTTTGGTCCAGTATCATCAAAGGCGACGCGTGAAGGGTAAGGTAGGCGATTGAGACAAATATCGAGGTTGTGTTGAGCGTCTTAGTTGCCACCACAAACGTAATAACCGGCGATAAGGTCATAGGAACCTGAGAACTAGTAGCCGCTGCAGCAAGCAGCATAAGCCAACGTACGCCGATCTCAATCTCTCCCCCTCGCGGTAGCTGGTATACTGCCCCGATTGACTTTGATAGGAGTGTTATTTTGAGTTGATAGTCACCACAGTTGATGGCTCACATCACGCGCCTCACACACGAAGCGAAGCAGGAAGAGTTCCGCCCAAGAATGATGAGAAATCGAGGATAGCCTGCAAGACAGCCAAGCCTATTGCAAGAACCTACATCAGGATGAAGAAAGGCTCTGTTAACGAAAGACACAATGACGCATTAACCAAAGTGGAGATACATACCAGCTTCGTCCGCTGAACTGCCGAAGCGCTGACAAGTGGGCAACAGCGACGGCAAAATGTTGAAATACGGGGAAAGCCAAGGCAAACGAAGACAGCAGCTGGCGCAGTGGCAAACACTACATCTCCAAATGCAACAGTAAAATCGAAGCCGCATCTACAGCCACGCACAGCAGGCCCCAGCGAGTCATCATTGAGACAAGCGCTAACAGACAACATGACCTGTTCGTGTCAGTGGTGACCAGTACCACTAGCTGATGCTGAGACTGATACTCCAGGCCTGCCGGGAAAGTAAGAAAGGATTCTCGCCGTGGAAATCCGAGGTTATCACGGGCCTATTGTTTATCCAATGACACCGCATGCATTGTGCGGCACAGCTGAATGAGGATCTGCATGTTGGTTGAATGCTGGTCTTTGGTGCACTGATATTCCGGCTGCGACAGATAAGACGGCATAAAAGCGCCACCGAATCCTACCAAAAGTCCCTAAAGCCCCTGTAGTAGTAGGGGTCGCCAAACGTCCCCTCCCTTCCCGCCTCAGGAAAAAAAACATGAAGGACCAACACGAACTTTGCTTTGACTCGAACTACTATACATTACAGCGATACGAGAATAGTACGTCACTACGCGATTCCTTCTTGTTCTCAACGCTGCTTCATTAACTCGACTACAGTTGGGCCCCATCTTTAGCGAAAACGCGTTCAGCTGTTGTTTGCCCGCCGATACCCAGCCTAAAAATTAGTGTCCAAAAGTCTCTGGACGCTGTTTTAGCTAACTGGACAAACACTATTATCCTAGTGCAGCCAGCATCCATCGTGTTTCAATTACTGCCCACATCTGGCGTATGGGACTGCATCTCTGAGACTGGTCTGCACTATGGATAATATTCAGAGCGAGGCGACACCGCTCCTACAGCCCGACTTCACCTGCGACGCTCCAAACAGAAGCCCTCCCACAAAGGACAGGGTCATTCAGTGGCGGGCGGCATGGAAGCATCACTTTTCTCAGTGGTCAGCCCTGTACATCTGTAGCCTTTTCATCCTCCTCGTCGACGTCCCCAACTTTCTAAGCGAAGTCCCAAAGTTGCGTATGCTTGAAGTCGGTCTTTGTCGCGATCACTACGCTGCCACTGACCCAAGCGTCATCGGCCGCGATGGTTCAGTTCCAGAGCATCTCTGCAAGGTCCACGAGATCCAAAGCGCTCTTGCTAAGATGAGAGGTATTCTTGGCATGATTGAGGGTATCCCTGGTCTCATACTCGCTATCCCGTATGGTGTCCTGGCCGATAGCAAGGGCCGGAGGTTGGTCACGGGTCTTAGTCTACTAGGCTTTGTACTCAGAGACATCTGGACTTTCACTGTACTTTTCTTTCATCGAGTATTTCCTGTCCGTGCTGTCTATGCTGCACCGGCTTTCTTGGTCCTCGGAGGGGGTTCTACTGTTATCAGCCCCATGATCATGGCCATCATTGCTGCTGCAGTCCCGGAAGCATCACGGTATGTACACAGTCACAAAGACAAAGCTACTGAGTAAATTTGAGCTGAAAATTGATCAAATATTTGTAGAACAGGGGCTTTCTTCTGGGTGCAGGTTGTACTTCTCATTACTGAGCTGATTGCGCCACCACTCGGTGCAGTTCTCATGAATGCATTAGGACCGCATTTTGCTTTCCTCACGGCGGTGCCACTTGAAGCTCTGGCCTTTGTGGTGCTCGGCTTTATCCCCAGCACAGGAGCATCTGATAGTGTCCCAAGCAACGACATGGAGACTACGGAAGCAGATCAAAGCCCATCACCCAATGGTCAAGGTGAAGAGCCACCAAGTGATCAAGACTCATCAAAGAATAAGGCTCTGCAGGCTCTGTTACACCTTTCACAGAACATCCGATATGGTATTCATACTTTGGGCGGTCAAAGACGCCTTCTAGTGGGCCTCCTATCACTGATTGTTGCAAAGATGGCTCGATCGATGCTAGAACTGATCTTGCAATACATGTCTGTGAGATTTGGATGGCCGCTGGCCAAGGTATGTACTTTCGAGACGAGGTAGATGACAAGAGTTCCTCTTTTCTCACCCGCGATCATTAATACGTTGTTCTAGACGGCATTCCTGCTCTCGATCCAAGCTGCGGGTCAGATTCTGCTTTTTGCTGTAGTCCTACCGCAAGTCAATATATGGCTCATCAGGAGAATGAAGACATCTTCAGCTGCAAATCTCGCACTGGCTCGAGTGTCAATTCTCCTCCTCGCTGTTGGTTCACTCTGCATGGGTCTCACTGCTGCTATTCCGGCATTTATAATTGGTATGAATGAAGAATCTCGACCAGAGAAACTAGTAAACTAAGTGATTTCTAGCGTTCTTTGGATACACGCTTGGCAACGGATTTTCACCCGCCTTACGATCTCTCCTGACAACCATGATACATCCAGATCATCTATCACTCTTATTCACTGCAATCGCCGTGTTTGAAGGTATCTCGACCATTGGTGCCTCGCCACTCCTTGGGCTGTCATTCTCTGTTGGCTTGGACATTGGAGGTATTGCTGTAAGCCTGCCGTTCTTTGTTGCTTCGGCTCTCTATGCACTTACTGCGGCGCTGCTTGTTAGTGGCATGTCCACAGAGTCTTGCTCGTCCGAAGCCTAGCGTCGAATTTAGTGTCGATCCTCACCAGGCTGCCATCATGCATTCTACACAATCTATTGAAACATGAAGTGTTAGGCCTACAATAGAGGGACATCCTAGGAATATTTGTCAAGTCAATACACAAAAAAGCAATCAGGTAGTTACGAGTCGACCTCAGCAAAAACAATACCACTTGCCCCGTACTGGAATCGAACCAGTGATCTTATCATGTCGTGTGTATTTACTAGTGATACGCTTTACCACTGAGCCAACGGGGCTTGATGGGATTGACATGCTCAGCTCAGCAAGTTGGCTCATCGAGCGCCGCGTTTGTACGGTCTGGGAGACCTGCATCATCTCAGAAACCTGGATTTGGCGAGGTAATGAACTAGCCGCTTTATCCTACAGGAATTGATTACACTGTGGCACAGAATGCAACCTCAGTTACCTATCACTCCGATTCTTGAGGTGACCCTTCTTTCCCACAAAGATGAGATGCCCAAATCTAGAAATGATTGACCTAAGATCTAGCAATGATTTTCTCAGCTTCTCAGCGCTGTAGTCATCTTAGTCAAGACCTGTTCCAACGACCAAGTATACATGGGTATCCCAAATGCTAAACCGTCGGTCCAAACCATGAGCCATAGGTTCAACATGCGTCAGTGAGTAAGATGACTGAGTATGCAACATCCAGCCTGTATCGCTATGTCCAGAAATGGTCTCCGTCTACTGACCTTTCCAACATGAGGGCACTTAGTTACAATTGGGCCAAAAGGGAGCATCGATGCAGCTATAAAGATCATAGAAAGGAACAAGCATCTTAGCAACTCAAACAGCAATCAACTTCTCAAGATTCTTTAACAATATACAATACAGCTTCTCATTTCTTATTTACGACATGGCAGCCGCAGCAGTTCAGACTTACACTCTCGCGTCCTACGGCCATCACGCCGTCGATGCCATGACAGACGTCGATGTGGCTGCCCTGCATCAGAGACGTCTACATGAAGCACGGCGTTGACTTAGGGTGGCGTTCGGTGTTGGTCTCCTCAACCGCCACTACGGCGTTGCACCCAGCGAGAAGATCATCGAGCTCGGCCCAGTCTCCTCGCCCTGGGTTGTAGGTAATGACGAAGCCATCACTGGCGGCTCAGTCCTCCATCACACCTGGCGCATCGTCCTTAAGCCCACTAAGAAGTCCAAGTTCATGCCGCAGCGCGAGATCTCCAACGTCGATCGACCTGTCTTTCTGACTACCCTTGTTAAAGAGCTAATCAGCGTGCTGCAAGAGACAGGACTCGATGATGTTCGGTGTGTGAGCCTGCATGAGGCTGGTGACCCTGATAATGATACGGTCGCAGCAGCATCGTTATTCCTTGTACAGGTCTTATTGGTTCCAAGGAAGACTTAAAGGCTCACTGTGGTATTTGTGCTGCCCGCATTGCTAAGGATGCCATCAAGGCCAAACATGGAATGGGTGTTGCGAAGGTTGCCGATAAAGGTATGACCGCTCACGATGATATTTGCGCTACACGTCTCGCTAAAAAGCGATAGAATCAAGGCTTAGAATAGTAGCTATATTATCTTTTCCTATTATCATCGCGTCTAATGGGGTCTCAATTCGGTCAATATGAGGCAACATGCTTTCTTCTGTTGAAATTGAATACGACGATATGGTCATGGGTACAGGGTGAGGAGACGTTCTGTGAAGCACTGGCCGCGAGCTGAGGTCTACGAACTCCAACTACAAGCCCAGCTCCTCTATCCTTTTCTTAAGTTTCTGTCTTGTGATTGAAATGGGGGGTATATCTATTTTCTGGGTTATAGACATCCATGTTCATGGATGAGCGCGTTGATTGCACCAATAACTTGGAAGTCTTAGATAAATAAGACTGCCGATGCTTTCTCTATATAACTGATTACCGTGCAAACTTACTCTTAGCCCTCAGCTTCTCCCCGTAGAACCACAACAGGACAGGCGCTGGCCACCCCAGCACAACCGCCAGTCCAGCGAGCAATGTTCCTCCCCATCCATACCCCAAAGCATCATACATGTCCGCCGCAAACAACGGAAACCCAAAGCCCGCCAAGCTCCTCGTTACTGTCGCAGCTGCAACCGCTGAAGCCGCATATCGCGCGTAAGAGTCAACTAAGTACCCTTGTATACACTGATAGCACATGATAAGCCCCATGGTGTAGATGCACGCACCAACGTTGGGCCCTATCCAATGCGTCCTCTTCTCTGCGGTCCAGGCGTAAATCAGCAAGCCTATGGGCACCAGGATCGCCCCGGGTATCATCATTGGGACACGGAACTCGGGGCGCCCGAGTTGCCCTTCCTTGCAGCGTCGACGCTTCAGGGCTCTGTAGATGCGATCTTGTGAGCGCGCGCAGATCTGGGTCCCGATAAAGAGCCCTAGCGCGAGGGAGATATAGTTCAGCCCTTGGTAGCCCGGGGTTTCGTGATATACCTTTGCGAATAGACCCGAGAAGGTACTCAAGACAAGGTACATAGTTCCGTAGAGGTATGTCATATAGGCAGCAAGGAACATGACAATTGGTTGGGTGAAGAGAAGGCGAAATGGACGAGTCAAGGCGATCCCAAGTGTCCTTGCGAAGGTTCTATCTGGGTTGTCGTATTCTGTGAATAGCTTCGTGTTCCCTGTCTCTTTGGTCAAACTCTGCTTCTTCCGTCCAAGTATCACTGGCGCATAGGTTTCTTTGAGGAATAACAGAGCGGCGACTTGGACGAAGCCACACGCGATAGTCGTGGAGTAGAATACCCATCGCCACGTCGTTCTCTCTGCAACCCAACCCCCAGCTATAGGCCCAAAAGCCGGTCCAAGCAGAGGGGCCACAGAGTATACAGAGATAGCCCTTCCTCGCTCCTCCGGTTGGAACATGTCAGAGATGACCCCGCCCCCAACAGCCAGCGGAGCAGAACCCCCAAGGCCTGCCAAAAAGCGGAAAGCGATCATGCTGCTCTTGTTATGAGATAGGGCGCATCCGAGGTTGAAGCAAAGGAACCACAGGTTGGAGACTTGGAGGACGATAACTCGGCCTCGGAGCTCGGAAATTGGGCCCCAGAAGAGTGGACCAACTGCGTAGGCGGCCACGAAGATGGAGAGTGTGAGGGCGAGTTCGAGAGACGAGGTTATATGGAGAGATTCGCCGATCGACGGGAGTGCAGGTGCGACCATGGTGGATGTGAGAGGCGAGATGAACGTGAACAGCGAGACTAAAGTATACATTAGTCACAACCTATGAAGATGAGTTGACGGTTGGTGTTATTTTGGACGGCCAAGAGACTGAGCCGCTAGTGGAAGGGGAGGATATATCAGTCACATACCACAGATAAGGGCAGTCCATTTCTTCTTGATACTCCAGTTCTTTGGATTTGTCGAATCTTTAGGTGTTTCCCACGTCACCAAGTTCTCATCAACCTGCTGCTCTGATTTCTGATCCGGCCCAACTTCATCTCCCATTGGCTGCTCGCCTCGCTCCAGGGCATCAATCTCTTGTTGATTTGGGTCCCTATCTCGAATTTCAGACATGGTCCCTAGGAAAGCCCCGCCGAGCCTGGGCGGTTTGGGGAAGATGGACAGCAGGAAGGGTTAGTGGTGAGGCGTGGTGGGTTTAAGAGACTAAGGGAAGCAACGAGATTAGAAGTCTGTTCAATTAATAGGAAGTGTCTTTATGTAGGGCGGGCTTGATTGATTATTGGTTTCTGATTTCTGGTAGTTGTGGTTTGAGATGCAGACTTTTATATATACATTAGCGAAGAAATTGGGCCAGTGGCCTACACAGCTCTTATATTTAACCCCGATGCTCCTCCATTCGCTCTTTCAGGGAATGACATAACTCTATTACAGTATTAAACCCTGAGCAGAAGCTCATAGTCGGAAAAAACGGCAGATAAAAGCAATGATCTAGTCTTCTCGGAGTTTTTACACTATATATCATCTCCGCCGGCCCCTTCTTTAGGTACGAGCTCCACCCCTGGCCAATCACAGTTTGCTATCGGCGTGCCATAAGATCCAAACTTAAAGGCCCGGGAGTCTTTTTACTCCCGGTCACGTTAATACTTTTGCCGATTTCGGGCCGAAAGCAGTGATCGACCAGCCCAACCATTAATACATAGCCAAATACCTCGACATTTAACAAGAAAGCATTATCTCTGGAATGTATATACCTGTTAATTTTATTTGTTACATATTTATAAGAAATAAAAGGCTACTCCACAATGGTCTACAAATCATCATCCAATGGGCTCAGACCCTGGGCAGTACCAAGTCTCTTCTCGAACCAGAATCTCAACCTCTCAACCCTCTCCCGGTCAACCATAAATCTCATGAAGTCATGCGGATCTGTGTGGGCCTGATCAACAAGATCAGGAAACCCGGCCGGCGGAGCGACATCACTCCTGACAGGCCAGAACCCGCTCGTCTTCTGAAAGTCCTTGCTCAGCAGAAAGTTCTGCAGCAACTTAGCGCCCTCGGGGTGCGGCGCGTCCTTGAGGATTGCGGTGTGCTGTGCCCATGAGATGAAGTTGCTCTTCTTGGGAAAGGTAGCGTTGAGAGAGCCGGCGCCAGTTGATAAGCCGATGGCTGAGGTGAAGGTCGCGACGTACGGTGTCTTGGGGTTGCGAACAAGCGTCTGGGGAGTGGCTGCTCCACGAACCCAGCGAGGCTTCTGCTGGAGGAGCTTGTTGAACCAAGATTCGCCGTATTGGTTGAGGCTATCAATGTGAGTTAAGGCTCAGGTGGTGATTTAGCAGTGCAAGACTTACATTTTATCGAAGAGGAAGAGGATTGAGTCGTCGTCATTGGGATAAGTCAAAGCAAGCTTACCTGTGTACTCGGGCGCAAGGAAGTCGCTGTACTCTGCCGGCGCCTTCTTGCCCTTCCACTTATCGGCGTTCCAGACAAGCTGCCACGCAATACCAGTGTACCCGTAGTAAGCAGCATCTGTATCCTTAAGGCCAGAATAGATCTTGTCGAACCCAGCAGGTGCATAGTAAAGCAGCGCGCCCTCTTCTTTCCAACGTGGAAAGTCCTGTGTAGTCTGCATGGCGATTGTGTCGACATAGACGTTGTTGTTGGCAAGTTGTTGGTCGATGTTGCCATCGAGATATTTGGACAGGTCGACGGTTTGATTGAGCTTCATGCCGGGGAAAGTGGATTCGAAGGCGTTCTTGACCGCGTCATTTTGGTTCTTCTCATCGCCGCCGAACCAGGCTGTCACAACACCTCCTTCCTTGAGAGCAGCTTTGTAAATCTGGTCGACGGAGCGGGTCTCAACTTGAGCTGCTGGGCCGAAGTGGAGGAGGGCATCATACGCCGCTGCGTTTGCAGCGAGTAGGAGAGTCGAAGAAAGCGATAGGAGGCGCATTGTGAAACTTGAACGGTGTGAATGGTAATGATCAATTCTGCTAACTCGGGTTTCCAAGAGTCTATATATACCCAGGGCGACCGAGACTTTCCTCTGCGCGCGACTTGAAAAGAGAGCTTCCGCGCGGCTTCATCTCTACGCAACGTATAGTATCGGTGCAATTATCGTCCCGAAATATGACCAGAGCACTCGTTGTTTATTGAGTCAGGTCAGAGACATATGGATGAATACCGTGTTAATCAGCACGCGCGCGCGAGACCTGATGATAAAGTTTGGCCTATTCGGTTATTATCCCCAATGTGACTAGCACCGGCATTTCGCCATCCGTACTTCTAATTGGGTCCATAACCCACAGGTCTACTATCGGTCGAGGCGCTCTAACCAGGCTTAGCATGTGCTTCCGTTCGAGGCCTCAAGTGACAAGATGACGTATAGTTGTAGTAACTGAGAGTAAGGAAGTGCCTTCAGAGGGTCATCGAGAGGAACATTGGTGATGAGGATATCAAGTCGTACTTGATTTTGTAGTCTCTGAATACGGCTGATGAATGCATTGGATCGCTGGACCATTCAACAGCACTCATTGGCAGTGGACAAATGATAAGCAATCGGGATGTGGTCCACTACCCGGGTCCCGCGCGTTTGGCCCCGTCATTCAGGGCGGCCGCGTCAAGAGTAACGTGCCATAATCCTGGACCTGGTATTTGAAATGACAGTTGATGAGAAATAGTGGTTATATATGATTTAAAAAATAACTCAATTCTCCAATAGTTCCCAGTACGGTCAAGAACATACGCAAGTTCGTCTAGTTGAAGCCCAATAAGCCTAGGGAGCAGTGTAACCACCATCAACAAGGATATCCGTTCCCGTCACATACGTAGAGGCATCTGAAGCAAGAAACAGATATACCCCTTTTAACTCAACGGTTTCACCAAAACGCCTAGAGTCATTAGCTTCATCACTTGTTTGGTTTCCTTCTCAACCAACACATGGCTTACCCCATAGGCACTTTGTCCATGATGGCGCTCATGATTTCTTCCGCGATCGGCCCGGATATGCCCGTGTTGATAAATCCGGGAGACACGCTATTGACCCGAGCGAATCCAAGCCATTCAATCGCGAGGGATTTGCCTAAACGGACCAGTTCGTCAGAGATTCCGGCAAGATATTGTTGGGATGCTAACACATATGAATGAGAGTGGCCTTGGAGGCGTTGTAGACGGCTTGACGCCGGGGGATGTTGACGATATGTCCAGACATGCTAGCCGTGGCGATAAAGCTACCGCTCTCAAAGTTGCTGAGCTTAGAACCGTCAATCGTTGTTCCCTCTTGCTTCTGCCTGCGGAAGTGTTTCCCGGCGACATGGGCGCAGTAGGCAACTCCATCAGTGTTGATCTTGATGAGATCGTGGTATCTCCCAATATCAGAATCGATAAACGCTTCATCTCCCCAGGAAACACCCGAGTTCGCCACAAACACGTCAAGACGGCCGTTCAAGTCTCTTATGGACTTTGTCATCGTCTCATCCACCTCTTTGTAAGAGGTAACGTCTACTTTATATGCTCTGCCTATTTATCCAGCAGTCAGTGAGAACGATGTGTTGACATACTCTACGAGGTTCGTGATACGTACACTTGACTTTATAGATCCTTTCGATATCTTCAGCCTCTGCAATAGCGCCACTGTTGCTGTTATACCAAATGGCTATGTTAGCACCCGCTTCGGCGAGCGCCTTGGCCACTGCCAGTCCGATTCCCTGTCCGGCACCGCACACAATGGCGGTCTTGCTGGAGAGGGAAAACAGCGGCATGACAGGTCCGTCTGCTGGAGGCCCTGTGTTGTTTCGTCGAAACACTCCATCTTTGATAGGTTCAGCCATGTTCAGATAGGTATCTCGTTGTGGATGATGGTTATTGCTGAGATTAAATAGCAAAGAAGTAATTCTAAAATATGGATCGAATGTGTTCCGAGAGCCCTGGAATGAGACAGACTACCTGATTATCTTCACTTCTGCACTCTACTGCGATCTGTAGGCCGTAACGCGACTCTATCATTCTTAATATACATATACTTGATGTTCCGATGTGGGCAGCCTAGACGATCCCCTCTTATCGGTTACATTGAACCTGTAATGCCATTGATGTGGTCATGTCTAAGGTACCATTGTATCGGGTTGTCACGTTACTATTAGGGTGGGTCCATGTCCCATCGAGTGCCTCTGATATGTAGATTCACCAGTAACGTGCTTCAAAGATTGTCCGTGATGCGCTAGACTAAGTCTCTTGGTTCATCCTCCAGCAGGGCTTGAGAGATGAATACCGTGCTCAGCAGCTGTCCACTTATCGATCAACGTAACTCATGTAACTGTTACGTAGTATAGGTATATGAGGAATCAACAAAAGTCAACAGGGCTTCTGCGAGTTGAGGCTGCGGGTTCCCTAGCGTAAGTAACTACTGGGACACACAGCCACTATGGCCTAGATTGGGTTTATCTAATGTAGAGCTCTGACAGTGCACTGGTGTACCGGGTAAGTCATCACGGCTAGATAATTAATTTATATTTAATGCTTACAATGTCTCATTCAAGCATATCAAGCTAACACGCTGAAAAGTCCTTAATTACAGCTAGTTAAGTTAATGAATTTTAATTAAATACTTCAGCTCGTCAGCCTTTCTATTAGCCAAGGATCTCTTTCCCTAGAACCTCCTGTATCTTCTCCGGGTCTTTCTGCTACAGAAGCCACCCTTGCGTGATACTAGTGAATGTCTGATTGCACCTGTTCTATTATTGCCTTTTTTCTCCCTCTCCAGTGTCAGGGTACATTCTGCGCATCGCCACTGTGATGAGTAGAGATGTGTATGCACAAGTAGCAGATCGTATGGTTTGGTCTAGAAAAGTATCACCCAAAAGCCACCGGGCCGGTCAGGACAGTAAGGTCCATGACTTTAAAAGTCATTAGACGAAGATGGGTTTAGCTCCCAAATGCAAAAGTCGACTAATTTTTTAAGAGCTGGGGGGTTAGCCTCAGAAAGGTTATCAACTCGCTCTGCATTTTCCATAAGGAAGAATTCGGGAATTGAGCGAATTCCGAGCTCGGCATCAAGGGCTGGAATTTCATCGGTATCGAACTGGGCAAAGGCAAGTTTCTCAGGGTCATAATTCGAGGCGTTGGCGTGTTTTTCAAAGAACGGTTTGATGGATTGACAGGGGCCGCACCATGTTGCTGTTGCGAAGATGATGACGAAACGGTGTCTTTGAATAAGGTCGTGGAACTCAGACTGACTGTGGATCGTGGTGATGGGCATCTTGATAGTAATAATGCTCGGTTAAAGAGGCACTGCTTCAAGGGATGAGGGGGGCAATGGGAAAATGTTTGGAGATGTAAGGGGAATTTGTATCCGGTTGCGGCGAGCGACGCTCAGGCCGTCAAAGAGTTGAGGGGGTTGCAGTGCTGCATGAGACTATTGCTCTAGCTACAGTCTATATCCAATCGAATGTCGAAATCGCTGTAGCTGAAAATCCGAAAGGGTGTTTCCAGCTGTGCTGTTTCATTGTATACTAACTCCTTTGAGTAGACCGCTCATCTGTAAGATCATGCTATGGGCAATAGTTTAGCCGTTAATGCATGACATGGCTTATGACCCCGCATGACTGCCACATAACCCTTGTATCTGCCGAACTGACTTTCGTCCACTAGATCAATATTTTGCTAACAGCAGGCGTGCATCACCTCATATACAACCTGCTAATGCAGTAGCAGTTGGAACTTCAAAATGCCAAGGAGAACTCCCTCGGTTGAATCTCAGCACATTGCACGTCGAGATTCACGGAGCGAATGGTGTCAGCAGAATTGGGAATTCCCGGATAAGGATTTTATAAAGGAGTCAGGCCGAGTGCACTGCGGTAAGCTTAGGGTTTTAAAAGAGGCTTCAGTCTCCAGGCCATAAAGGTAAAGGACGACAATAAACACATACAGGCAAAATACTCGTCGCTCTCACTACAGGCCCAGTGCACAGTGTTTGAAAGTGCTTATGTGTTTCCGCAAGCTTAAAAGAAAATCACAAAATGGACTATTGAAAGGTTTCTGTAAGCCAGAAACCTACCGAGTAGACCAATTTGTACAGCACGTTCCCTGTATCTTGAGTTAATAGACCCCGCTGCTGATCTCGATCACGGGCCTCGTATAAAGCTTAAATGTAGTTTCTAGGTACTTCTTAACTGAGAATCTTAATATAATGGTCTCTGAGGGTAGCTAAGCATATCGGAAGTATAGCGTATGAGATCGAGGTCACATTAAACTGGTAGTGCTTTAATTGGCGCTTAGCTACAAGAAGGTCTCAGGACAGTTCAATAGAATCAATGGCTGCTTCAATGTACCCAGGACGCACACAACACCCTGTATAGGATCGCGTGCGTTCCATCTCATTAATTCTCACTTGCGGCTATGATGCTTCTCGTGACAAGGTTATCTGTAGCTCCTACCCAATTGCCCTGCGGTGGTCTATGCAGACCGGCATATCTTGGTTTATGATCATGACTATTTCTGCACCTAACTTTCAAGATATTTTATATACATTGATCAGGTAGATATATATCTTGCACTGCACGTCAGCATATATTAATATCGGGTGGGAGCATTACAATCTAATAGAGTTTAGTATATCAAGCTCAACGATTGAGTTATGAAAGGTCAAGCATAACTGATTTATATTTATTCCATGATCCTTCTGGCCCTTGTTAAATTAAAGACTATTAAAATATATAATATAAAATAAAAACATTATAAAGATATATATATAGCATGCTTTATATATACTAGCTATAGCTATCTCTTTACAGTAGCTTAGACTTCTTGAACATCAAGTACCATTGGTGTCCAGTTGTTGGGCGTAGTCTCATAGATCGCGATAGACGCATCACTAGTCTCACTTTCCAACGCTACAATCTGATTGTAAGCGCTCTCTTGGCCAGGTGAGGTGACACAGGTATAGTCTCCGTCGAAGGTGCACACAGTCTTGGGAGCTGTACACGAGAGCTGACTGTTCACAATTTGACAGGACAAATAACCGTACATGCTGTTAGGCCCCGGGTTGCGACTCTCATCACAGGTAGAAATGGATGCTGCTCCACCGTTCTGTTGCACAAAGAGATAGTAGGCGCATAAATAATTTCCACTGGCTGTGTCCTTGATATGGTCGGTGCTGGGCTCGATGACCCATGTTCTGGGGCTGTAAGGTGGACTCAGAGGGTTAAATGAGGGATTGAACTGTGGGTAGCTACCCTGGTAACCATCAGCCTCGAGGACATCGCCAGTTAGAGGAGCACTTCCAGCGAGGATGCTAAAGGTTGGGGCGGCGACAGCAGTGGTAGTGGTGTCAGCCTTGGTGGTGCTCTCTGCCTCTGAAGTCGTGGTGATGTCTCCTGTGGTCGTCGGCTGAGATGAAACCGATGACGCAGTGGTGCTTTCGTGTTCGTGTTCAGAGGTAGCAGTCGTGGGTCCGGTCTGGGCGGTGGTACTGCTATCAGCTTCAGACGTCGTGGTAGTGATGTTGTCGATGGCAGTTATCTTGGATGAGTCTGACGTCGCAATAGTAGTCTCAGTAGCGATGGTGGTTGGGGTAGGCTCGGTAGTAGTGAGCGTGGCCGTCAATGCATTTGAAGCTGCCGAAGAATTTCTCGTTTAGCAGTCGCTCCGAAGATGGATCAATTGGTGTACATACCCGATGTTCTTGGCTTGCAAGGACCTGCAAAAGCGGACCCAGCCATCAAAAGGCTGACGGCTAACAGGATATTGGAATGCATTGCGATCTGTTAAGGAGTGACTGAGGTGAGAAATAATCAGCGAGAGATGATAATAGGAAAAAAGGAAAAGGAAAGGAAAGAGGATTAGTATAGCTTTTGTTACATCGAGGCGACTGGCCAAGGAGAGCTCAACTCATTTCCAAAAACCAATAGTGTCGTTACTAAAGCTAAGCCTATACCTATGCCTAAAGGTAATTGGACCCCTGAGTGTTCCGCATCCTTGCAATCGATAGCGCGATGACCTTAAGATAGCATAAAGACCCACCTTGACTGTGTTGTGTTTGCCAATCTAGGGTAGTGCGGGGAGAATCAGATTTATATGTGTTATTATCTTGCCTTAACGATTGGAACTTTATAAGCCCTTTCCCATAAAGGGTATTTAAGTCATTGAAGCCGAAAAGTTTATCTTATCGACAACGGCTAACTGACTGCTCTAGTTAGTTGTAGAGAGCTTATAAGACAAGATATCAATGTTTAACAGGCTTGTTATCTTTCCACCTCCGCTACCACGATTGAACTTTTAGCTGTGACTTACTGACTGGAAATATATATAAACAATAAACAGGAGTATTAGAGTTAAATAGAGTTTAGTATCTTAAGCTTTAGTTTTAAGTGATAAACAGTCAAGCCTAACTTATGTACTGGCTCCTTAAGGCTCCCTGCCCCTCTTTACTTCCTTCGGATCTTCGATGCAGCCTTTAAGGGATCCAGAATCCAGTCTTGATCCAAATCACTTGGACTATCATCCTGTGAAGTGAACCACGCGATTTCGAATCCTAAGACCTTGGAGTCCTTGGGGAACACGAATTTGGATATCTTGTCAGCATCTGCATTTCCGATATAGAAAGTGTCAGACTCGGAAACAATGACCCGATGTCCCTTTTTGAGTATCTTTGAAGTGGTGCCTTTGTGCCAAGTTTGAATGATCCAGTCCTTTGCTAAAGTGATGCTTTTTTCGGAGTCGGTGAGAGGATCGTCCCATAAGATGACCGATTTCTTGGGAGTGAGTGTCTTGAGCCAGTTCAGAAATGTATTGAATAACTTGTTGTCGTCCTTGGTATTCCACATGTATGCCACCTCATCGCCGCCAAAATGATGGTAAGGTGAGCCGAAATACCCGTCGACGGTAGCTACCAAGTTGGTGATATTATCGTACACTGCTTTGTTGTTCGTTCTGATGTCGAGCTGGGCGTCTGGCTTTGTCAAGCTTGCCTTGCCTACAACCAAATTCTTTTTCCATATTCCCCTGGTAAAATGCCGTTAGTAACGTTAAAGCGGGGGTATCGTATGACATACCAGATATCGCTGTGACCAGGCATGTCTGTCTCCGGATACACCATAATCCCAAGGTTCTCGGCATAAGAGACGATGTTCTGGATATCGGTAGGCGTATAGAACGTGTGAGTTTGGCTGTACTTGACACTAGCATTCGTCAAGCCCTCGCCCCCAGGCCAAAGTAGAGGAAAGCTTTCCGCATCGTAGATATGCCAGTGAAAGACATTGAAGTTGTATTGGTGAAGCAAGGTCAACAAGTGAAGAATGGCTTTGACAGGGAAGAACTTTCGGCCTGTATCAAGCATAAAGCCTCTATGGGGATAGAGGTTGGAGGCCATCTTTGCAGGCTTGAAATGGATGAGTTGAGGAGGTGCGAGAGTTATTTTCGTATTGCTGCTGCAGCTTACTTATAGGGCTTATGAGCTGACCGGAATTCGGCAAGGCAAGGCAGACTGTGGCGGTTGGAGAAAAGCTTTTCCGATGCAGCTAAAGGTCAGAGCTTTATAAAAGTCGCATAACCCGGCTGGACTACAGGGCCAGCAATCGAGCCTGTAAGTGACAAAAGGTAAGTGTACGGGGTGAATTGAGGTCTAGTGAGCTCTTTAGCATTTTTCTGGTCCATTCACGCTTCATACAAATGTCTAAAATGTCCGGCTTAAGGCTGTGAAAAAGTACTTTTGTCTTGTAGGATGCCTCCCGAAGGAATGTGGCTTGGATCGCTGATGACATGTAAGCTGAAAAGGGTAAGGCTTAAGGGGGCTTAGCATATTCTCGGACTCGCTCGTGGTCTAGCTACTCGCTATGATGAACCCACATACCAGGAATAAATCCTGGAGGCTTTGGGACTAGAATGGTCTGATTTACGCAGTGGTTAGCAGACGCTAAGTTAGTGAGGCTAATTACCCCGTCACGTCTAGTCTTAAAGCAATAGGTATTACATATACCAAATGGCAGCCAAAAATGCAAGAGAGCGGCAAGAATGTATATTACAGTGTTAACTATAGTACTTATCGCAGCGATCTTTACTGCCATCTTCATCAGTGCCCTTGAACTAGAGCCAATACGAAGCCATTGAAGATGGGCGTGGGCAACATGGGGTGACACGCCACATTGGGCATCAGTGCAGCCTTGACTCTATGATCCTTCCCAATATGCGTCAAGATAGAATCCGCGCCAGGCTTTACCTCGCCATTATTGAACATCGCCGGCACCACGTCGTCGAAGAAGACACATCCACCAGGCCGGGTCAATTTAACAGCCCAGTCAAAGTGCTCCATATGATCCTCAAATTCAGCATCGATGAAGACCATATCAAATTGTCGATTCTCCTCTGCCAGCTTGGGTAGGACATCAAGCGCAGCTCCGAGTATAACATCAACGTCAAAACCTGCGACATTCTCAAGTGCGACGTCACGATGTTTCGGATCGATCTCAATGCTTGTTACTTTGGCACCGCCTTGAGCAAAGCAGATAGCTGAGTATCCACCCAGTGTGCCGATTTCTAGCACTGACTTTGCGCCCATGAGTTGAGTGAGGATAGATAGATGCTGGCCAGACATTGGGGTGACGCTTATGGGAGGAAGGCCCTTGGCGGTTGAGTTGGCGAGGGCTTGTTCTAACTTGGAGTTGGGAGAAAGGAGGGCATCATTGGCGAGAGTATCCAAGATTGGAGCCTGGCGGAAATTGTCAAAATTGGCAGCCGCCGCTATAGCGTTAAAGTCAATGTCGGGCATGGCAGTGGCTATGAAATGGTTTGGTAGCAAGATGTGTTGACGTTGGGATTGAAAGAAAGTAATGCTGCTGTTTTTCTGTAACATTCACATCATAGAGACACTGAGCATAGCTATATATACCGAGTCTAATAATTGAAACTTGATGACGGATCCGAGATCTCCATCGTCCACGGACCGGACCGGACCGGATCAGATCGGAGTTCCGTGGCTGTGATTCGTTCCACCTGTAGCCCGATGATCTACCGTGCGCTGACGGATCTCACGGATCCGTGGGTCCGACCAACTGGTCACAGGTACATTGACAATGGCACCAGACGCGCAGAGAAATGCATGTCTCTCATGTCGCCAGAGAAAGCTCAAATGCGATAGGCTACAGCCATGCGCGAATTGTGTTGCTCGATCCGTCGAGTGCACAGAGCAAGACCTGCCTCCTGGCCGAGCAGTCAAGCGACCATTGCCTCAAGACTCAGACTCTTCAACACTGTCGAGTATCCTTTCAAGACTAGATCAGATCGAGTCTTCCCTCAGGCCCAATAAAAGATGCAAGCATGTCTCTATATCGACCCCGATCGGCGACCAGCTGAATGCCATTCGCTTCAACGTGCCTGGCGTCTCGCAAAACCAAGACCCCGCTTCCAATGACGTTGTTGAGTCGATGCCTCCTGAGGATCAAATGCAAGCAACCAAATACTCGGTCAATGACAGCTTCTTAGTAAGTTTGACAACAATCAAAGAGGATAATGACGTCTGTACTAACAGCAGCAAGTATCGTGCGCTCACACATGAGCTTAGTATATCCATCACAACAGACTACAGATCTCAGAAATTGATCGAACATCGCCACATACAACTACCTCCCAAGTGGGAGACAATACGCCTGTTTCAAGTATACTTCCAGTACTTGGGCCATGTCCAGAACATCATCTACGAGCCCCACGCACACAGTCTCATACACGAGGCATATGACCAGATCGTTAATATCTCTGCAACAACTGCACCTCGTGGGTTGGCATTGATACTGTCTGTCATAGCACTGGCGACGATCCTTGAGCCTGTGAATGGTGACTTGGCTACAGCTATTCCGATACTCAAGGAAAGGCTAGCGTTATTCGCCGCCTACATTCGAATGGCGATGGACTGTCTGGAGCAGCATCGTCGACGAGCAGATCACACTCTCGAAAACGTCCAGGCCTTGATCCTTCTTGGCTTTGGAATCCATCATACCGAGACCTTCTCTCCTCGGTATCGAGTCTTGATCGCTGAAGCTATTGCTGTTTCTCATAGCCTTGGACTCCATGTTGTTGACCGAGTATCTGTAAGGCCGGCCCAGTCCAAGGTTGATGCGGACCCAATAACACAAGAGATAAAGAGAAGAGTTTGGTGGTATCTTGTTGCAACTGATTGGGCATCCTCAAAGGCAGAAGGTGAGTATCTGTGATTCAAGACGATGTTACCATGCTGACCTGACCTAGGAACATCTGGAGCTACTTACCTCATCCAACCAAACCTAATCAGGACCAACCTTCCAAGACATATTAACGATGCTGACCTCAGTAGCTCTGATCGAAAAGAGAGGCCTCTGTCAGAGCCAACCACTATGTCCTACAATCTCCAACGCATCAAAGTCGCCGAGGTAGTTCGCTGCATTTCCGATCTGATGCCACATGATCCAGGTGAAGCATCATGCGAGCTGATACTTTCGCTCGATGCAAAGCTTGAGTCGTTACTACACGAACTCCCAGAATTCTTCAAGATGGACAGGTCAGAATGCGAAGAGGTCAAACAGAATGACCAGAAGTACCCGCATACCCCAATGCAGCGACTGTTGATCAACCTCCTAATCAATATTTTCCGGTGCGGGCTGCATTTTCCGTATATTCCTGGACGTCTTAACAAGGCTTTACACGCATTCTCACGGCAGGCTGGCTTGAAAGCTGCTCGAGCTGTCTTGGCTTCACAGCGAGGCATGAGCATGACAGATTTGCTGCACTCTGCAGATTTCATGAAGATACAGGGCACCATTTTCCACATGTTTATTGGGGCGCTTGTTCTCACTACTGATATATGCTGCAACCAGGATGGCCAGACGCAATTATCTGAGCTGATGGAGGTTATGAAGAGGCTGGACGATGTCAAAGATCATTCCAGAATGGCTGCCAAGTTACTAGAAATTTTAACGCAGTTGTTAGTCTCATATGGAGTCTGGTCGCCATCTACGACTATCTCTGCATATACTGAAGATGCAGCGCCTCTCGACTTCGGTTTGTCGGGGTCTAAGAGCCAAGAGCTCGATCAGCTCGAGATGCCCTTCCTGTTTGATGAGTTATGGGAGACATACATTGGGCAGCCTGGTGGTTTGGACATGCTGGATATTTTGGAAGCCTAGGTTAAATGAGCTCGACACGGATTTGGAAAATAACAATCAATATTTTTGCTACGCAGTAGGACTTCCCATGTCAAAGTCCGTCTCTATGTTCAATAAATCTACAGTACATAGGTGCTGTCCAGCGCCGAGCTGTCTTGCCCCAATATTGCATAGGGGCGGTTGTCATGAAGAAGACGAAAGACAGCAGGCCAATAATTGAGAAAACCCAGGTAAGAGATTGACTGTCCATCCAGATACTCGCGCAGAAGGTGAATACAAGGGCGATGCTATTGTTGATCACAGCCACGCCTACCATTCCCTCCAAGATCATGTCCGGGTAGCAGTCGGCAAGATAACTCATACCTTGGGGTTTTGGTTAGGAGAAGCTATCTTCATTGTATAAGAAGGGAGTTGTCACTTACCAATATCTCCTGCGCAACCCCAGCCGAAACCTATGAAGCCCAGACCGATATAAGCGGCCCAAAGCTTGGGAAACAGCCACCCCTTATCAGACCCAATGCCAAAAATAATAAGACCAACAGGGTTGATTATGGCTGCCGGATACATAAGCCATAGTCGGTCTTCAGCTTCGCTTATGCCACCTCGACGCCGTGCCATCCACTCAACGAATTTATCCGAGAACCAACCTCCATAGAAGCAGCCAATAACAGCACCAATCAGAGTAGGTATGTTCATCAATGCCACCGATGTATCGCCATAATTCCATGGGGCATCGTAGTAGTTATCCTCCTCGACAGTAAGGTAAAAGGTCAGCCACGCATCTTGCGCGCCCCATTGTAGCCCAGCATAGAGAACAGCTGGGAAGGTAAAGACTCGGAATGTTCCAAGCAGTGAGGAGAAGTATTGCTTGAAGCCAAAGCCTATGAGCGTGGGTGACGGCGTTACTAGCGCAATGCGCTGCCAGTATGTCTTGGGTTCATCCTGTAACGAGCTCACCTGCTCACCTCGTTCCGATGCATTGTCGCTTCCAAAGTTGACTTTCTCCATTTTGGGAGCCTCTGCATTTTCATTGGATAGTCTGATACCTTCCAGAATAGCTCTGCGACAAAAGCTTGTCTCCTCGAAGCCAAAAAGAAAGACAACAAAGGTTACCACGCTGATGATGGCCGCAAGCCAGCCAATCCAGCTCCAGCCAAGCTTACTGTCGGTGATAAGGCCGGCAAACAGCGGACCAAGAAAAGTCCCAACACTGGTGGCGAGGATATAGAGGCCCAGAACCATACCGCGTTGATGGCTATAGAATAGCTCCGAGAGCGACAACTGTGCGGCAGCCTCGGCACAAGACTCGGAGGCACCGACAAAGAGCTGGCTCCAGATAGCATCAGCAGAGCGCGACGTCTTGGCGAACCATATACTCCCAGCAATGGACGAAAGGAGGCAGAGGAGGTATGTGCTGCGACGGCCATACAAGGCGGGCAGTGGGGAGAGGAGAAGTGTCGTGTAACCGATGCCGGCGAATAAGACACCAGCACCTGTGTTTTCAGTGCTGTCGCTAATACCTTTCGCCAGGAGCGCATCTGAAGCGCTGCCGGCTGAGTTGCTGGTGGCAGCAGTCAAACCCACGATGAAGAGTACGAGGAATGCGTGCCAGTATTTGCGCCATGGCGACCAGTTCAGAGGATCGTTGGGGGAGTTGGTCGGTTGGGGGTTGAGCGTAAGGTGTCCCTCAGAGCCGAGAATGCGTTGCGTTCCAATAATATCAAGGTCGGTCGCTTGAGACTGCATGTTGTTTATTTGACTTGAATATAACAAGAAAGATTAGAGTTGTGACGAGCACAATGTTGGCTTTGGCATGATTATCAGATCGGCCATGAAGGCCTCTGATTTATTATATCAGAGACCGCGCAATACACCCTGGAATGTTCATATCTTCGGAAGTTCGGGACAACTAACACCTCATTGGTTTAGACCGTGATGCCTCCAAGAGTAGTGTTTCTCTTCGTCGATAGGTAGCAATCAATGGAAAATGACAATGTGTGACTCCTTTGGGTTAGTATAAGCCGGTAATACTGTCTGGACGGAAAACATGCCTCATCGGGCCTGACAGGCTGACCGTTATCACTATCTCGGGACTTCGGCATGGAGATTCATCAGATTTCCCCGCAAACTTACCTGATAATGATTAAACTAACAGGACCTCGTCTCCATTGACTGCCTTCTTACGGCTTAGTTCTACGATCATCTTGATAAGGGCATTCATGCAAATGACGCGGCTGCCACTTAGCCGAACCTTGGTCCCTAATGATGCCCCCTTTCCCCAGCCACTGCTACCATGATTTAAGAGCCCCTTTCATATCGCATGGGGTAGATACTTGGATAACAGCAAACACAAAGCACCCCAGTCCAAACCTGAACCCAAACCCAAGTTATCTTACTATCAAACACTATCCAAAACGTTCATCATGGCTACTACCCTTATACCCAGCGCCTTGGAAAAACCAAGCAATTGCGGCTCCAATTATGAAAGCCTGCTCAAACATTCTATCATCACTGGCTCTGATGAGAAGGCTCGAATGCGAGGAGATAACCCTCCCCCAAATGTAGAGCCACCGAAGAAGGTGATTGTAGTCGGCGCTGGAATTTCTGGGCTCCGAGCTGCTTCAGTCCTGCGCCGCCACGGCCTCGATGTTGTAATCGTCGAGGCCCGTGACCGTATCGGTGGCCGCATCTGCGCCAGCAGCCAGCCCGGCAAGACGCGTGATCTCGGTATGTGCCAGTCCAACAACACATGTGGTTAACAGTAAGCTGCAGACCTCAGAGCTTGGGCTGTGTGCCGTCCTATCACACCTGCATGTGCAATGCCGGTGTAGGTATGTCAACACATACGTTCCCTCTAAGGGCACAACTTGCCGTCGTCACGAGATAAGCTAACGTTTGCTTAAAGGTGCCGCCTGGATGCACGAAACATCGCAAAACAAATTGACCAAGTTGATCCCGAAGCTGGGAGTCGATTATTACTACGATGACGGGGCTCCTTTGTACTACACACCTTACGGTAAAGCCGGCGCTCAGTTCAAAGCCAAGAAAGTGGCGGACGAATTCGCCGATTACTGTGAGTGGTTTTATAAGAATAATCCGGATGCTGAAGACAAAAGCGTCGACGAGTTAGTGAGATCATTTGTGAAGAAGCACGATCTGATCACTGAAGATGAGCGCCTCTGGGCGCCACAAGCTACAAGAGAGGTCAGTATCCTTGTCTTGGCCCAACAACTTACGAGCACATGTTAACGATACTATAGATAGAACTCTGGATAGGCACAAGTACGTCTGTAGCATCATCCAAGCATCTCAGCTATTTTGTTACGGAGCGTAACCTCTACGTTCTACATGGTGGCTACCAAAAGATCGTTGGGTGGACGGCTGAGTCAATACTCGACTCTATTCACTTAAATCATCACGTCAGCCATGTTCAGTGGAGCGAGGACGGAGCCTCACGTGCTGTCGTCACCTGTCAGGACGCTCAGGGCAAGGAAAAGCGTTTGATGGCCGATGCGGTCGTGGTTACAGTGCCCTTGGGCGTCCTCCGTCGCCAGTTAATTTCATTCACGCCTGCTCTTCCGTCTGATATCAGTGAGGGGATAAGTCGATTCAGTTATGGCGCCCTGGGCAAAGTATTCTTTGAGTTTGCCGATGTCTTTTGGACCAAGGACCATGACCAGCTTATCTACTACCCGGCACCTCCTGAACATCAAGAAGAAGGGCTTGTCACAGAGGGCGTCCTAGCCCACCCTACTGTCACTGTTAACACCTGGCTAATGTCGGGGAGAAAGGAGCTATGTGTCCAGGTCGCCGAGCCCTTGACGCAGCGGGTCGAAGCAATGAGCAATGAGCAGCTGTATAGCTTCTTTCGGCCTCTGTTCAATCTTTACCGTACTGAGCCATACAAGGCCCTACCTCAACTTGTGAGTATCGAGTGCACAAAATGGACTCAGGATCCATTGGCTGGTTTTGGAACCTACTCGGCCGACAAGGTCGGTGATGAGCCCAGCCTATTCACTGACGCTTTGACGAATCACAAACATAGTCGTCTGCAGTTTGCCGGCGAGCATTGCACTCTGGTTGCTAATGGATGTGTTCACGGAGCCTTTGCTACCGGTGAGACGGCTGCTACAAATCTACTGAGTTCCTTTGGAATGGAGTATGATGGTGGCGACATTGTTAGTCTTATAAATGGCTCAAGTTAAGCTATCTGTTAAAAACACAAACCTATAGAAACCTAAGAATCTAATCAGGCATTATGAGGAAACTTCACACTTAGCTATTTATTGAGAAAATCTTATAATTGCTCCCAAGCCTTGAAGCAAAGCATCTCTCTCTTATGTCAGACTCTGATTAATTGTTAGTGTTAACACCAGCGGTCTAGCAGTTGTGGCTTGTCTGTAGCCTATCAGCTGATGTTGTTGGTTGGTTGTTGTATCCAAGCCTGATCTGCTATCTCCACCTTGAAGAAACCTGACAACGCGCCTGAACTTTCCCCAATCCCTCTTAACATTTCTCATTTACCCATAAGCCAAGCCGCAGCTAATATGGCCAACCCTCCTTTGGCTTCAAACGCCATGACGGTGCCTCTTGCTGAACATTCCTTTTGGCGTAGGACTGCTAAGCTCCCGCCATTGTCTCGGGATCTTGCACCGTGCGATATAGCGGCACCCAAGACAAAGGTCACATGTATCGCCTGTCAGAAGCCCGGATCGCTCAGATGTTCTGGTTGTCACGACGCCGAGTACTGCTCAGCCGACTGCCAACATAGTGATTGGGATGTGCATAAACTGGTTTGCCGGAAGCTGTCGTCTTTTTGTAGCGAACCGCGACCATCGAAGGAGCATTTCAGGGTCTTGATATTTCCTTATCAAGCATCAAGTCCTGAGTTCTGCTGGGGAGTTTTCAAGAAACACGAGTATGACGCTCATGAACTCGAGATCATGCATTCGACTATCGACAGTTGGAGGGCAGCGACCAAAGGACAGTATTATGGCTCAGATGATTCCAACCTGATTATCCGTGCCCTCAGTCGGGATACTGCTACGCAAGGGAAGACCCTCGGGCACGCAGTCAAAACTGCTTCCTGGAAGCCTTCTAATAAATCGAAAAGTCACCTCAGTGGTTTCAATGAGACGGTCCTCGCTCTGGCTGGCCCTTTGAGCCGTCGATTCTATGGTCCACTTGTGTCTTTCGCATACAATGTGGATAATCAGTTTTATTTCGAGACTATGGATGACATATCAGCTGCCGACTTCGGGGCATTGATCGATGTGTTCCATAACTCAGACTGGAACCCAATCGTTGGGCGTGTTGAGAGATATCCTGCAAAGACCACTTCGGCACTTTTTCTCCCTGACCATTTCAATTTTCATCGCATGAACAGCCCTTATACAGAGACTATACCGAAGAGCCCTGATGAGCTTTCGATTAGTCACATAATTGGCACCGAGGATGAAGTCATTGAGGTGACTATCACTTCAGCACTAGACTCTAAACAGCTTTGTCGGCACAATTTCTGCGTATCTGATGTTGTATCGATTATAGAGCTGTGCCTCAACGGGCGCACGTCTCATGTGCTGCTACTGGGGCCTCTTCTCCTGGATCTCCCCTGGATTGGCAGGATTTCTTGGATCACTGACGAACATGATTCCGTTCTCGAGTACCGCTGGCAAGAATCACGCTCTCGATTTCTACGTCGGGGTATTGTTCTTTGCTACAAGTTGCTAGGCATCGACCACATTCGTCAGGGCGATGGACTGATGGTCTTCAACGCATTTGGCGTCAGACTAAGTCCACTCCATCTGATTGCTTACGATGAATTTATGTTTTGCCAACTCCAAACGGACAAATCGAAACGCCAGCTTTCCAAGCTTGGCTTCCTCTCATTTTGGAATGACCTCAAGTCAGGCAGGGTCAAGATAACAAAGGAGCTCAAGAAGCCGCAATACTCCCAGCTCAGGTTTCTCGAGTTCTGGGAAGATTCTGAAGCGAGCGAGGCCAACACAACGAACCAAATCGAACTCGACTTCTCTAAGGAATCGTGTCCATATGATTGCCCTGCGGATGTAAAGCAAGTCCTGACTCAAGACGAAAGTCAAGTATTTCTATATGTAAGGAAGCTGTTTCGGGATCCGGACTTTGTCAGGGCCAATCAGAGAGATTGGTTGGAGATACTCCATGATGCCAATGTGGTTGTACAGGACAGGGCATTGGGTCCAGCTTATTGGGATGATGAACTGGATAAGTTCTTTACTGATCACATAGCCGATTTAATAAAGAGTGAATCTACTTAGGAGCTAGGTATTTACCGGCTTCTTGTTTAAAGATAATAATAAATAGATTCTAGTGTTATTATAATATTTCGTAATTCAATCTCAAAGGTAGAAAGGCCATCCTCCTGTTTCTTATATAATTCCGCGTAACTCCTACTGCGACTCTCGCACAAGATCTATCAAGGTTCTGGCAAACAGATCTGCATCGCCGGGCCATCTTGCAGAGACATAGTTATACTCCTCATCCTTGACAACAAAGCTGCGTCGGCTGATTAGAGGAGTGAAATTATAGGAGGCCGCCATGGGGTCGACTTACGGAGCAAAACTATTGCTTCCCTTGAACTGCTTGCTATCATCAGCGAGGCTGTGGCGGATCTGGGAGAGTCAGTATGTTCACTCGACGAGCCAATCTAACGCCACAGCTTACAGAATCTTCTGTGTTCTCACTACCAGCCCCATATGTCTTATAGTAATCACCAAGAAACGCCCTAGTAGCCCAGTATACAAAACTCTCAAAGAAGCCAGGCAGTGTAGTCGTGGTGCACTCGTGGATCACGCTCTTACCATCACCACCCTTGGCAGACGACAGCACCATGACGCCATGGCAGATCGCTCCTACGGCCTTGTTGCTCGGCTTCTTCGTCTTGGGGAAGTAGTCAAGGATGAGCTTGTGCACTTCCTTGGAGTCGATGATTTGTCGCACAGCCTTGTCGTGTCCTCCAGGGAAGAGGACGAGGTTATACTCGTCGAGCGAGAAACCAGGCGCAGTCCATGACAGCGGATGGCGAGCCTCGTCTGACTCGAGCATGGATTTGCATTGTTCCACCACAGCAGCTTTTGCACCCTAGAAGTGTTGATGGTAAGAATAGGACCAAAGGTCCAAGAGATAGGGTCAGCTCAACACACCAGAAGTTTCCCAGTGACGCCTTCCATCATCCTCTTATCACATTGCGGGGTCTTTCCAGCCTCGGTGGCAAATTGGACTTTAAACCCTGCTTCTTTGAAAGCAGCATAAGGAACGGCAGTCTCTGTGGGTTCTGTCAGCTTCGTCACGCTAAAGCGGTTTGCTAATCAGCATGCCCGTGGGGTCGTGGCCCTCGTCGCTCATCATTATCAAGACGTTGGGTGAGGCCATCATTAATTATGCTCAAAGGTCTTCCGTTTTCCTTTGCTAGGGGTATCGAGGTCGATGATGTGAGATAGTGAGCTGTAAAATGAGCTGGTTGAGGCACAGTGAAGGGAGGGGTGTAATGTCTATATACCTGAGCGACGGTGCCGGATCAATGTTTGTCCACGTATGACACCAACAAATGAAATAGTAAAAAATGCGTTATAACCATTACCACGCGCGACAGTTGACTATTTTCTCTCTCTCTCAAGGATCAGGTCAGCATGAACTGCTTGAGCTCTACGAATCAGTTAACATGCACGGTTTCGCACTCGGACAACAGAAGTATACACCATCGGACTCGGCTGATAGCCTGACAGGGAATCGGTTACGTCGGGGCTGACACTGGGTTATCTATCAACGAGGTTTATTTCCAGATGTATGATTGGCTAGCTCGATGTTCATTCCAGGTAAGGCTCAGTACTCATGGGCAAAACCTTATCACATTCAGACAAGTAACCCATGCGTGTCCTTGCCGCCGAAACAATCCGAGAGCTGCCAGAAGTCCTGTGCAGTATCCTGTGGAGTGTCATTACGCGCAAGCCAAGCCCGCTCCAACAGACTTAGAGCTTGTTTCGCAGATCCAAATGCCTTAAGAGCGCCCAAATCCGAGACAGCCTCGGTAAAGATGATCTCATCCTCTTGCCCAGCTAGCAGACCAGCCATAAAGACTGGCCACATGATGCTGCGCAGGGAGACCTGGGATGCAGGTGATCCAATCAGACTTGTAATGAACTGCACATGATCTTTTGTTTCTGTATGCGAGGGTCGACGCCCTTGTTCGACAATACGAAGGTATAGTGTTGCTCCATGTATCCATGCCTGTGCAGCCTGATGGGCCGCCAGGTCTGTCTGCAAGTCTACTTTCGTGTTCGTCAGGCCAACTTGGAGCTGTATCTTGAGTTCTGCGAGTTTCCCTCTGTCTTCTTCTCCTCTTTTGTGGATGGCACTGCGTCCCCTGGCAATTTGTGACGCCTCTATCGCCGAGATCTGGCCAAGAGCGGCCAATATCCATCCCGGACACCCGATGAACTCCTCCATCTTCAAAGCCGTTACGCCATCATTCAATAGCATCCCGAGGTATGGTTGGAGTTTCGGCGGAGTTCCACTCATGACACCTGATATCACGTCTGCATATACCAAAAAGGCTGTGAAGAACCGAAAGGCATTCTGTTCCTCGGACCAAGGCGTGAGAGCAAGAGATAAGCCATCAAATATCGATCTCTTGGGCGCCATGGTTTGCAGAAACTCGTCAAGATCGAAGAACCCATCGTCTCCGCGGTGTGTTTCGATGATTTCACGAAGCAGGCTCAAAGCTGCTGTGAGGTGCAATTTCCAAGCAGCGCCCTGCGCCATGGCCGTGTAAAAGATTAACTGCTGGACGATGGCGCCCAGTAAGCGAGCCCGTTTGAGAGCCTCCTCCTTCCCCCATGTACCTTTATTAAATGCTGTCATTTCGCCCTGGATAATTTTGAGGGAACAGTCCATATGCAATGCCAGAGTATCCCAGACTTGTTGCTCGCAGGGAGTGCGTAGAGTCTGGCTTGCATCTCGCGCGAGGAGGAGGGTGAAGTAGTATGTACTGATGCTGATGACAGTGTGATAGATTGCAGGCTGCCCTAGGATAGCTTTGAGCAGCCAGGCGCGGCCACCAGCCGAAGTCGCTGGGCGGTAGAGGGGAAAGAGGTGGGGAAATACGGTGTCGAGGTACAGGGATGTCAGGAAGTCATCCGTTTCCTTTTGGCTAGTTGGATGAGCCGCTCTAGCAGATGTGGTGGTACCGCCGTGTTTACCAAGGGAGGAGGGAAAGCCTTCCGATGGGGCCTCTTCCTGTTGAAGAGGCTGCACCTGGACGGCGAAGCCTTTGCCACGCCGAGATGTGGCACCCTGGATGACCTGAGCCTTGACGAATCTGGCCCTTTGCTTTTGCTTATGCCCTCCATCCATCCAATGCGGACGTTCAGAACTGTAGTGGCAGTCGATGGAGAGGTGGGCGCAGCCTCTGCACGCGGGTCGTGTCCTGTCACACTTCTTGCGCCGTAAGCGGCAGGTCCAGCAAGCCGGGGCGGGCATGGCGCAGTCCTACACTGCTAGTAAGATTGAGTGGCAGTTTGACGGTGCGTGTTGGCCAAATGGGCGCGATCTTGACGAGTTGCGTGGTTTGAAGCAACGGAAGATTGAGTTGGCGGTCATGACAAGTCGAGAGTCTAGTCTGAGGAGCAACCGATGTTGAAACGAACTGGGTCAACTCCTGAGCGCGCGCTGCCCTAATAGGGAAAGGCGTGGATTCAGCGTTGGCGTGTTCTCTCAGGTGGCTTTTACTTCTCCATAGTTATTAGCCTAGTTAGTTTGAGCGTTTGCTGATCTGTGATCCTAGAACTGTGAGCCCCACAGGCAGATGATATTCCCCTGAGTTTACATATAGATATATGTAATTACCTGAATTATCGCCGAATGATTTACGAGTAATCCACAATGATGGCTACTGGGTCTGTCTGGAATACCTCCAGTAGCTGTACCTTGCGTAGTCTTTTATGTCTTTAATCTAGAGCGGTGCCTGAAATTTACTTATAGACATTAGTTATAAGTAGCCACAATGACTTGGCGCTTTTAAAGGGTTAGCAGTGCCTTTTTATATAATCGTGGGTTCCCTATCCTTCCAACCGGTAGACGCTAATTTACAACGTCTCAGAATCTCAGTAAGAATAAATATCAGCTAGTAGATATAACTTACTCAATACAGCCAAATTCAGCTCCCGCGCGATTTCAAAAAAGAATATAGTTTCATTTAACTTATCTTTACCCTGTAGAGTGACAAGCCTTAAACCCACAGTGCCTCCACTTAGGAGGCATCTACTTGGCATTTCTAAGCAATACAGGTCTCGGGGACTAAATCCCTGCCCGGATCTCCGGAGAATTTCACTTTAGCAGACTACGTACCGCACCATGAGTGTTACTTAAAGCCTGCCAAAAGACCAAGGTTGTCGATTATCAACAATACTTTATTCCTTCATACCTCCAGGCAGTACAACACTCAGAACAAGGTTCTTTACCAGCATTCGCCATGGCCTCTTCCACCAAGCTCAATGTTGTTGTTGCCGGCGCCTCTGGCGAGACAGGATCGTCCATCATGAAGGCGTTACTGGCCGAACCAGCGCAATTCCATGTTATAGCACTAGCACGGCCTGAATCTGCAGGCAAACCGGCATACCGAGAGATGTCGTCTTCCGGTACTACTATCAAGGCGGGCGACTTCCGGGACGTTGATACACTCGCCGAACAGCTTGCGGGCGCTGACGTCGTCATCTCGTGCATACTCCCAATCCAGCGGGTGGAATCAGAGACGCTTATCGACGCTGCGCATCGCGCCGGGGTTGGCCGCTTCCTACCCAGCTTCTGGGGGCCTGTCATGCCTCCACGTGGTATCATGGCTGTCCGAGATCTAAGAGAGGATCTTTTGGACCGCTGCAAGCGCCTCTATCTACCTTATACTGTTGTCGACGTCGGTATGTGGTACCAAGTCTGCCTGCCGGAACCGTATGCTCCTGAGCCTCCTATTGCCGACGTATTCATCGGAGTTGGCAATACACCTACCGCCATAATGGATAAGGAAGACATCGGGCCATATATAGCCCGCATCATTACAGATCCGCGGACACTAAATCGATCTGTGCTTGCATATGGCGAGGTTACGACACAGAGCACGATCTGGGCCGAGGTTGAGGCTGCAATGGGAAAGGAGATACCTCGGAATTCTGTCTCAATTCCTGACCTCGAGGCCCGCATTGCGGAGCTTCAGGGTCCTGTGACAAGAAATCCGACTGATGTAGGGCTGCTTTTGGAACTTGCCATGTCTCAGTATAGGCATACTCGCTATGTCAGGGGTGACAACACGCCTGAGCATGCCCAATACCTCGGGTACTTAGATGGCAAGTCTTTATACTCGGACCTCAATTGCAAGTCGGTGCGTGACTTTATCCGGGAGGTGGTTAGCGGAGAGCGTGACCACCGTATCTATGTTGGCCGAGATCCAGTGGCAGATGCAACGCAGCATAGGACCTAGGCACCCTTGGACAAGAGGGAGACAGAAGCAGCAAGGTATAAAGCCGGTAGTGTTTTGTATTTTTAGAGAAAGTCAGCTCCGTGGCAGCATGCGAGAGGATACGATGAAAAGTAATTCTAGAGTTTCTCTCTCAAGGGTGCTGTGTGAGTCCATGTATTTTTGATCTTGACGTAAGTCTCGGTTTATTGGCGATATCTAAGGCCGATTCTTGAATTCAAGCCCATTCGCCTTACGAACGGCACCATAAATCGCACTGATATCAGCCTGATGTCCTGGTGACTTCTCCGTTGCCATTTGGAGATACATGAGACCAGTCTGAGCATTCTTCAGCTCCATATTTGTTTCCTGAGCCAGTTCCAAGAGGTGCTTGATATCCTTCATCGCAATGTCGGCCGAAGCGTATGGCTCATCTCTAGTCCAATACTCGCCGCTGATCATTCTGCCTGAATAGACGGAGGATATTCCGCCGTACATGATGTCCGTAAACTTTGCGACCGTTTCCGGGCTAATGCCTGATTTCTCGGCCAATGTCAATGATTCAGCAATCTGTGTGATGGCATTGAGGGCGAATGCATTGCCGATGAGCTTGAATTTCGCCGCGTGGCTGTGTGGCTCATCTTCGAAAGAGATCTCATCACGTCCCATGGCATCTTTGATGTAAGGGCGTATCTTCTCAATTGATGATTTGGCGCCAGCAGTTGTGAAGATAAGTGTGCCACTATTTGCCATTTGTGGTGGACCAAAGACTATACGAGAGCCAAGTGTACAAGAAGTATTGCCAATTACGGCTTGAGGCAATGTACATACCTGGGCTACTGACAAACTCTGCGCCGTGATCGATCATCAATTTCGCGATCTTGTCAACTAATTCCGGCGAAATAGTTGAGCACTCAATGAACAGTTTCCCGCCAACGTTATCTTCTTTGACTATCTATTGTATTAAACCTAAAGTGTAGTAGAAGTATATTTACTAACTTTATTACTAACTTATAAACTTACGAATCTGCCGCAAGGACAGCCTCTGCATCCCATGCCGCAAGTCCGTTGAGCTGTCCAACCTCCGGCATCTTGACCACCAGCCGTATATCTGGTGCAGTGCCTCTGAGATCGACGACCCAGAAGCTGTAAGAGCCCGGAACTGTGCCTTCGTGGTTTGCAAGACGATAGGTCCCGGCTCCAAAGGCGTACACGTCGGGCAGTACTTGAGCTATGCCAGTGACTGAGGCGACATCTGGGACGGTGACGATACATTTGCCAGTCCCAGAGAAGGAGTCTATCTCCCATATCTCGTTGGTGTCTTGGCGTGTTACAATAAGAGCACCGCTGGGGCGAACGGTGATGCTTTCAAAGAAAGAGGGCTTGCAGTCAAGCTGGAAAACGGTCTTGATTGTGGACATGCTGAGTGTTCTTGCAGTTAAATAGTAATATCTGGCTGAGGCTTGTTGAGTACAGGCTTTTGTCAATCTAAGAGCTTGGTTTTTATACATACGACAACCTCGCTCTTCTGGCCATCTAGTCCATCTCAAACGATAAGGCAGCTATTGTAACTAGCCTATTCTAGATAAAAGTACGACAGAAGGCGCGGTGGTCCGGCGCTTCCGTGCGGGCCGGCACTCGTTAAATGAATCACAAAGAGCGAGCTACATTAAGTTTAACAATCTAATGGCGAGTTTGGTAACATTTCAAGTTTCACGATGCAGAAGTAGCTCTTTGCAGAGTGATCTATGTCCCGCCGGACTCTTATCATTGGCTAGCTCGATGTTTATACCACTTCAGTCGTGCGATTACATCAGCCTATCAGTGTGCTTCCGTGGCACCCTCGGACTCGGACTCGATAAAGCCAAATGAGGTCAACGATCGCACTTGGTATCTCGTCTCACAAATGTCAGACGCGTCATTGACTTGAATTATGTGTGTATATATATCCTGTGTGCACATCGTTAAATCTGATAATAAATCTTCTTTCACCACTTAACTTCTCGACATCGTCACCATGGCCAAGATCGTCCGCATCACATTCCTGCTGCGAAAGCGCGGCGACGTTACATATGAACAGTTCCACAAGTAGTTAAGTCCCCCAGACTTCCTGTTATCCTTTCAACAGAACTGCCACTGACTCTTTCTGACAGCTGGTCAGAAGAGCATCCAAAGATATGGCTGTCTGTCCCCATCGTCAAGCAGAATCTCGGTACTCTCAGTTCCACGCTGATGAGAAGCTTGACCTCTCGGGAACCGGCATGCCGCCTGTTGCGCCTTTTGATGGGGCTGCTACCATGTGGGCTAAGAGCCTCGAGGATCTTCATGCTGTAAGATTATTTCCAATGCATGCGTTTAACAGTACTGATGCATCTGTTTCAAGATCTTTAGTGATCCCGAGTATAACCGGATCGTTGTCCCGGATGAGGAGAAGTTCCTTAAGCGCGCCGAAGCCGTTCCAATTATTGGTTGGGATGAGGTTAAATTTGTGAAGGAGGGTTTGTCTGGAGGTACAGAGTGAGCCCTAGTAGGCTCTGTCTATTGATTGATACTTAAAGCTTATGACGCCTCAGCGAGACACATCAAGGCACCACACTGAAATATCCCATTCAACTTTAGCTTTAAGAAGGCATAAGCTCTGTCTATCTAGGTCGCATTAAATATTTAGCTATGCTACAATGTTTAAATTGCCTCGTTGATATAATTGTCAATCACTATGTCAACAACATATTAATGTCTGTGTGGTGATATAGCTTCCTAGCCGTGTATCACGTCGGCGTTGCCTGGGGACCTGAGAGCAAGAGAAAAAGCGATGGATATACATGTACACTACGCATAGTCATATCTGGGTTAGGCAGCATAAATTCCATCTCTATCTGTATCTTTTATTCGCGAATCGCATAGCCAGACTATTGGATTTAAAGGTTATGAGTTTATAATATATTTTAGCTTGTGTGCTGTCTTGGGCAATTATTAAATTATACTGTCGTAGTAATAAAGCTCTACCCTTTCAATGTTAATATCTTATAGATAAGTATATATTTAATCTATTCTATCTAGTTATAAAGCTTCTGTACTAAGCCTAACTAAGTCCATTACTTGAGAATGTTAACTTCATTTATAGCCCAATCATTTCTTAGATATTAGATTTATAGGCTTGTCTCCTTCCTCCCCCCAATGTCTTGATCTTCTTCCCACACCATGCCTAGAACTTGTGGTCAGTTTCAACGACTACGTAAGGAACAAGGCGATAAACGGTTTCATAGCCAGCTCCAATGATATAGTTGCCAATCTTCTTTAACAACCAATGGGTCGGAATGGAAATTGCAATGGCTCGTGCCTCATCATCCCCTTTACTCATGTTCAGTAGCGTGCTCGAGGGGGCAGAAGCATCCAACACTGCTGGTCGCGCCAGTCCAACAATGTCCAGGGCTTTGCTTAGTAGAGCATCCTCGATCACCTTTCGACTACGGAATCCACCCGTGACGAGCAGCGGTAGATCTGGGAACTCCTTCCGGATCGCTTCTGCGAAGTCGAGAAAGAATGCTTCTCTGGCCGCGGTGCCTTCTCTCTTCACCCCGGTGGCTTTATCGGGGTCTACAATTCCCTGAAAAGACGTGTTAGACAATGCTGGTAAGCTCGGTGGCATAAAGGATAGACCTACGATTGGCTCCTCATAACTACCACCACTGATTTCCAGGAAATCGATTCCAGCATCAGTAATCAGTCGAAGCTGTTCAAGACACTCTTCCAAGGCAATGGATGACTGATGACCGGCAGAGTTAAACTTGATACCAACTGTGAAGCCTTTTGGCACAGCATTGCGGATATCCTCGATAATATCAACGACAATCTTAGCACGAGCCTTGGGTGTTCCTCCATACTCATCGACTCGATGATTAGTCTTAGCAGTTAGGAACTGGGAAAGAAAATAACCGTGAGCTCCATAAAGCTCGATTCCATCGAACCCAGCCTCGGATGCAAGTACTGCTGTTTCCACGAAACGGTTTCGCACATAAAGGATCTCCTCGACTGACATGGCCCTTGGCGTGCCGAAAAGTAGCTTAGAAACCACGGCAGCGAATATACCTTTGCCGAGACGCAAGGGTATTGCGCTGGGGGCTAGAGCCTTCTCAAAGAAACCCCTTCTGCCTGCTCCAGCCGGGGTCTGCCTGCCCGGATGGCTTATCTGCATCACGGTCGGTGTCCTGGCAGCTCTACATGCTGATGCTCACTTGTTCTAGCTGTCGAGAACACGAGTCCTGCTTATCAAGTTATTATTGGCAATATCTCCAGGCTGCCCAAGATAACGAGGATCAACCTGCACATTTCCTAATACCAAGTCAACAAGAGGGGCCTTGTCCCGCTTACAGAACGGTGAAGCTACCTGTGATGATCAGCCCCCAACCACCCTCTGCCCAAGCCTTGTAGGCAGAGTAAACGTCATCTGTTGGTAGAAGGTCTTTATCTGATAGATTCTCGGCCATGGCAGACTTTGCTAATCGATTTGGCAGCGTCAGGCCATTATGTAACGTAATTAGTTGGGCTATTGGAGAAGCCATTGTAGAAGAAGATTAGGAATAGACTGGTATGAAATTCGAGGAGGTGGCCTCGAGCACCGACTAGGCCACCAGAGGCCTTGCTCCTTGACGGGTTCTTTACATCTATGCTGAACACGGAGTTGGCTGAATCCAACATTGGATATTGGCGGATAACTGACGGGGCCGACCTCAAGTCATGATGATGGGTGTATGTTTGTGAAGGACGCTCACTACTTGAACACGTGATGAGTATGCTGAATGCCAACGATCGATCGACCGAACTCCAAGATTCAGCCTCCAAGTCAAAAGACCTATGGTCTACTTACCCTAACACGTGAACCAGGCGTAGTAGTGGAGCTGAACTGAACTGGTACGCTGTTTGTTTTCGGAGCTCGCTCCGATTCTCGGCATAAAGGTCAGCCCGACCGCCGTGATTCATGATGAGTAAACGACCAAGGCCAGCCCCGCAGAAATCTCGCAAACTGAAGTAGGGGTTGCTGAGTAATACAAACAAAAAAAGGAACGGCATCTAGCACCGCCGATGTTGTTCTATCGAAGGCGGTCTCGGATGGAAGCGAAAGCCGACGGGGAGAAATCAAAGCCTTTCAATACCCAAAACATACACTTGATCATTACAATCGACGCTCGAAGCTGTGACGATGCTATACCATTCTAAGAGGTATAAATTCACTGTTTAGTTCCATGGCGCTAATTATTGCTGGCTTTGCCACCGTTCAGTCTATTATACTTAAGTGTAGCATCACGGCCAGAAAGACGGTATCCGCTCGTATCATTCACTCACCCCCTTGATTTACCATCATACTCCATGTCGAATCGTTACCGCAAAGTAGTCATCCCCAGATACGGCGATGCCTCGGTGCTCGAGATCGTTGAAGATACATTAGTAGCCCCAGCTAGCAGGCATGTCCAAGTCGCCCCAATCCACGCTGGCTTCTCCGGTGCCGACATCAACATGAGGCGTGGTGTCTATCCCTCGCAGCAGAAGCCTCCCTTGACACCGGGCTACTGTCTTGTCGGCACTGTCAAAGCCAACGGCACCAACAGCAATATCTTCAAACCTGGCGACATTGTAGCATGCTTAACCAAGTATGATGCGCAGGCTGAACTCGTCAATCTGCCCGAGAAGCACCTTATTCCTGTACCTGCAGGCCTGGACCTGCAGCAGGTGACTGCGCTTGTTCTCGACTGGTCCACGGCGTACGCCATGGTTCACCAAGTCGCCAAGGTGAAGAGCGGACAGAAAGTCTTTGTCCACGGCATCAGTGGATCTGTGGGCTATGCCACCATGAAGCTAGCACAGTTGCAGGGGGCCAAGGTGTACGGCACGGCTTCGGAACGAAACCACGCTGCTATACGAGAACAGGGTGGAATCCCATTCGCTTACACGGATAAGAATTGGATCAAGGCGATGAAAGACGGTGGTGGTGTTGACGCCGCTTTTGATTCCATCGGTTTCGACAGCTTCGACGAGTCCTATGACATTCTCAACGGCCACGGCATTGTCGTTGGCTTCGCTGCGAATCAGCAGTCTCTCACCGGCGAGGCTCCCGTCTCAGCTATCTGGCCAACAGTCAAGTTTCTGCTTAAGGGGATAGTCCCATGGCGGAGCAAGCGAACTCACTTTTACCTCATTGATCGCGATCAGCCCGGGTACAAGCCTAACATGAATACTCTTCTTGATCTGCTTGGCAAGGGCGAGATTCATGTGCCCATCAGGAAGGTCTGGGACTTGAACGATATCCAAGAAGCTCACCGTCAGTGGCACAGCGGATCCGGAGTTGGTGCAGTAATCGTCAATATCAGGTCGGGTGCTGCATAGCGATGTGTGCGATGAGGGTGCAGAGAGCATAGCTCTTCGTCAAGCCTCGATCCATTCTTTCAGCTGCAGTGCAACCTGTTAGCTTCTGTGCCTTCGATGAACTATAATTACTTACATTGCCTTGACAAGAAACAAACTTCACTAGGCTAGTAATAGTAGCAGTAATGGCACCAAATAGTTCATTTAACTGGCCCTCTTTCTATGCGTCTGCAAGTTCCCTTAGCCTCAACTTTGGCTTAATTATCTTCCATCCAGATCAAAGTCCGCAACAAAGACAAAGAACAGAATCAAATTATCATGTACAAGAATATTAAACCAACGTACGAGAGCTTATCCCCAGCCAATGCTCTGTATCGCCCCCGATACGACAATGTTTCATGTTGCGGGGTAAGATATCTTGAGGCTCTTTGCAGGGGCTGCAATTGGACTTGGCCCCCAACTTGGGGGCTGTAGGCAGAAAACAGGATAACCTTGCGAGATTTCTGCCTAGCATGGCTCTCTTCTTTCATCTTTTATTTCATTTTAACTTTAACGGATCAACCATCGCGAAATGGAATCTAGTTCAGAGTTTCCCTAGACGAAACCAAGATTTGTTTTATTCCCGGGTCCGCACTTATAATCAACAAGGTCGATATTTACGGTTACGATTATCAACCTTGCCAGAACCCCACATACACCGCAACATGGCGGTCCATAAGCTGACACCCATCCTCATGACGGGAAGTCTATTCCTGGGACTAGTCCTCGCCATCGGCCATCATCTCTACTACCACTACCTCGACGGGAGGATCATAAAGAGTCAAAATCAACAGGAGTGGTTTCTCCGTGTCGGCACCGGTATCGCGTTCCTCGCAAGAGCCTTGTTGTCAGCAGCTGTCGGGTTCGCATACACGCAAATACTATGGCGAACACTACGATCAAAATCCGTCACTATCGAGGGCGTCAACTCGCTTTTTGGCGTGTTGCATAATGCTTGGGACTTTACTGCTTGGGAGCTCTGGACAGCTGCGCCGGCGCTTGCAGCAGTGGCCATCATAGCTTGGTAGGCAAGAAGCTCGAAGTACTGGCAGTTTACTGACATCTACAGGGCTCTCCCACTGATTGCAGTTATTACTCCAGCTACTCTGACAGTCCAAGTTTCAGACCGTCCAAACATCACCGTTGTCGACGCTCCCATTCCACTGCTTGACTACAATAACATGCTCAACTTTGCCCAATTCACCGGAGTAGGCGGAGTAGGATATTACGCTCCCTCAGCCTACGTCTCAAGGGTGCTCTTATCAGTGGCATCTCTCGGCTCTATCCTGACTTTCCCAGCACCCTTTCCTAATTCCTCATATTCTGTCGACTTTCACGGCCCTTCAATTTCATGCGGTACACCTCGCAACGCCACCTTTGCAAAGCTCTTAGCTGAGGCTGTCAAGAACGAGACATGTTGCGGGAACTCCGCCGGATACGTGGGATTCGTTCCAAGCACCAACACGGTGAACAGCACTGAGGAGGGCTACGCCTTGGCTGGTTTGCGGGGTGCAATGAATTACTCTCTCATCTCATCGCAATCAACCATTGATGAGACGGGCAACTCCATCAACGCGTCTAGACTGTTCGTTGTGGTGCCCGATATACCTGCCTCCAACACGACCATAAGCTACATCATGGCAAACAAGTCGATCGAATGCGCGCTCTACAACTCGTCATATGCCGTCAACTTTACATTCGACAACGGTCAGCAGAATATTAGCTACAAGTCCAAAAGACTAAATGGAGTAAGGTCTAGTGACGCCGGTCTCAACGAGGATAAAAACTCCGACCGGTTCAATGCTGCTGTCGCTTACATCGCGCTCATGGATTCCCTGGGTAAGCTACTACTCGGGAATCTTGGGATTTCTCACTACGGTGTGATGCAACCTACTCAGACACAGATCATGAGCTCTGTTCTCATGGATGCCAAAGAAATGCAGGTTCTTGGTGGTGTAAATGCGGCGACAGATCGCCCACAAGCACCAGGATCTGTGATTGGGAATATCTCTATGGCGGATGCATTGGAGCAGTTGTTTAAGAATGCGACGATAAGCCTCTTTAGTAACTCAAAGCTACTGTGAGTGCATTCGTATTTTTTTCTCTCCCCTTCTTTCTTGAACGGAGCTCTGTTGACGCTTATAGGCAAAACGATACTGCGGCATCTCATGGTAATATTACCTACCTAACCACGCAAATCGCCTTCTCTTATGAGCCTCGCAACCTCTTCATCGCCTACGGTCTAGGTCTGTTAGCTTCCCTAGTTATCGTCATCATCGGACTACTATGTATCAAGTCTGCATCAGCATCCTATGCAACTACATTCTCAACTATTTTGCGTACTACACGGAACCCCGATATCGACACTATCGTCCCCGCAGGAGAAACATCTGGCGCAGAGCCTCTATCAAAACAGCTTGGTGATACTCGCCTAGTACTACGACGACAGGGACGCAGACTGGAGGGGGTGAGCGAGGATATGGTGACGCTCTTTGCTGTAGACTCGATGCCGGATGAGAAGGGTAGGCAGAAAGACTCTCCGTATGACTCGTCTCACCAGGAGGACAGAGGACAACAATACTCAGATGCTAGTATTGAACTTCTGAGCCATGCCGGGCATTCGACAACAGATACAAGAGCTGAAAATGGTGGCAACCGGATGTACCTGCGTGGAAATTGAGGAGAAGGAATAACAAATAGGGTCATAAAGTCAAAGGTACAGACAGAACAGAAAGCGAATGGAAACTACAGAGCAATATTAATTATATAGATATTCATGTCATGTCGTTAGATTGCAATGCTTGCAAGCTAGTTTACAAAAACCCCTGGTTAAAATCTTGGTTATAACCTTGGTTGAACCCAATACCATCAGACAGCAGGCCCATCTCTTGCGCAAAATACAACGCTTGGTCATTCTGAGCCCAACTAACAGCCCCTTGAAGACGCTGTAACAGATCCTCTGTTGTCTCCATGCCCATTACTGATTCACTGAACTGTGACTGTGACTGCTCAGACACAGGAGATGGTTCTTCCGTACTCTCTGACTGTGTCTTCCGCGCTCGTTCTGCAACTTCGTAGACTACAGGCG